TTTGCTAAACTAACAACAACAACAAAAAATCATCTAAGCTTCTTCAATGCTCTTAATGTATCAGTAGGGATCTATAAAATGTTGCCTCATTAGTCAAACAGTCAGTGCATGTTTGGTCCTTATTTCAAATTTAAAAATTTACACATTTACACAACATTTAAGAATAAAAGCATCAGTAATAGGAGCTTTGTGAAAACAAATAAAAAAAAAATCAACTAATGTAAATGTCTGTGTCAGTGTCAGGGTTAGAACTCTTATGCAGCATTTTGAATAGCTTGTGGATAGGAAAGTTATTATTTAAGTACAATACATTTCTTTGGTTTGTTAAAGGAGACAAAATGCCCCCAAACAATATGCACCTTTAATTAAAAGAAGGTGAACAAGTGACATATTTGTTCTTTCTTTATGTGTTCAAAACCGACTGAGTAATTAAATGTTAAACCAGGTTTATGAACTCTGGACTCCTAAGTCTTAAAATAGACATAGAGCTGAATGTCATTGGTGTAAAAGTGATAGGAAATGTGAGAAAAGCCTGATGCAAGCTAATAAAAAGAACAAAAGAAATACTAAGGGACCAAGGAATGAACCAGGGGGAACCCCACAGGTTTGAAGAAGCTATTTAGGAAGTAAATAATTTGCCCAAAAAGAGAATTTCTTGTCAAATTTACAGAGGAAAAAAAGTTAATTAACCCCTAAGGGAGAATAAACACACACATAGAAAATAGGCAGTAGAATCCAATCAAAGTGAGAAAGAAATAATATTTTGGATGTTTAACAAAAAAGCAAGAGACAGATTGACTCTACAGGTTCAACTGTGTGTGATTAAAAAGTATTGTCTTTCTCTTACATTTTAGCATTTCCGCACATTATTTGTGTTAAATATAGCATCTAAAGCCTTTTTGGCTCAATTTAAAATATCTAAAACTTACCACCTTTCAGTTTCTTTAGCACTAGAATACATTTTGGCGAATGATCCTTACTTTTATGTGATTATGGGGGTTTTCACCATACATAATATTTACTTCCTGTTGCTGCTTGCCTTTGCTTGGGAAACATTTGCTTGGTTCAATGCCAATACAAAGAAAGATAGCTAATATCTCCCACAGGATAAAATCAAAATGTCCCTAGATTTTACTTTCCTAAATACCCCAACACATCATGTTTTCTTTTATAGATCTGTTTATTATCTAGCTTTTAAATCAGCTACACGATACAGCTAGATTTCACCAGCTTACCAACTTTAATTCCCTCTTTAGTTTTCTTTTCATTTTCTTCTACAACACGGAGCTTTCTGGATGAACAATAATGTACTTAATCTTGTTTTAATGTTTCATTTTGCTCTTTTTTATGTGCTTCTTCCTTCCTCCATTTGCGTCAAGTCTGTACTTGGGAGTTAGAATCTGGGCATACTAAGCATTCCTAAGAGTGCCTGAGCCAAACTACTCTGACAGGCGGAAGAACAGTCTCTCACCGCCGGACAAATTTAACTCTAAAAACACTTGCAGCAGTGGTGTGTAAGTAGGAATCACATCTTTGCCTTCCAGGTTATCAGTGCACCTTGAAATTTGTCATATTTTATATAGTAAGAACTACAAATAAAATGCATTTTATATAAATGCTATGCAGTGATTAAACTCAAAATATAAAATCATGGTGAAAGAAAGAATACAGGATGTTCCCTCTTTACTATACCGTTAAATAAAACCCAGCATTACTTACTGACTTCAGAGGCCGCAAACCTACTGAGACATGGCTATCAACCTAAGCTGACAACCCTTCTTTTTTTTTTTTTAGCAGGGGACATGGAAAATATCGAATCAGCATTGTCAGTTAGTTGGGGGGGGACAGAGATACAGGTTAATCCACAGGGACAAATTGTTAAAAACTGCAAAACAAAACCTAAAGCCAGAGTTGGTCCAGACAAAGTCTAAACCTAAATCCAAGTAAGAACCTGACAAGGATGGAAACCTTACTGTATCTTTCAACTTTAGAATAATACGCTTTTTGTGTTGGAATATCATAGAATCCTAACAAAAGAGTAAAGTTGAAAACAAGCACAGTCATTCTGAAGAGTTTGTGATTGTTTACATTTTTTTAAATTCCGAACACAAACTGTTTAAACTTTTACCTTTAAGAGAACTATTTGCCAAAATGGGCCACCAGAGACAGTTTAATCCCCTAGACCAGAGGTCTTCAATATTTTCCAGGCCAAGGACCCCCAAATTGATGGCAAGATGGAGCGGTGACACCCTAACTATATATATTGTATGAAATTGTGTTATATCAAACTAGTCCTATAGTCACTCTATTACATATGGAGTAATAGAGTGACTATGGAGTAATTTCTCCCTGGCGTTACTGTTTCTGATTCTGATTCCTGGTTGATGGGACAGGTGTTGTGAATGAAACGGTGCCCAGCTTGAAAGAGCTCCTGTGTGTCACTGAATGTGCATTGATGACTGAAAGACATCTTCTGCCTCCATTTATCTGTGTACTACAGTGTTATGAATTCATGTTAATGTGAATTAAAAGACATTTCAATTAGTCAAAAAAATTGCAGGGGGGGAACCAAAACTTTCGCGACCCCCATCCAGTACATCCGTGGACCCCCTAGGGGTCCCTGTTGAAGACCTCTGCCCTAGACTATCTTTTTAATAAACAAGCACCAATTTAACAATTAATTTTAAATTAGACTGTAAATTTAATGATTAGTTGCAAAATTCTGGTGCGTACGAGAAATAATTATTTTTTTATTTCTCTTCAGTGTCCCTTTAGGGGCTCCGTATATTTCTATTAAGAAGAGAGTAAACTAAAAGCAAAGTTGAACCCAGTTAAAATTTTATACGCACACACTTGGCTAAGATGTTTGTTATAAACAAGTTAGACACATTTTATTAACTGTACTTTAACTTTTAACACAACTTTGTCCTAATTTGCGACAGTCTGAAGTAAAGATCTTAACTGCAACCATGATATTTTAACTATAAAAGAAAGAAAAATTCTTCCAACTGCAATGTTTTTTTTATTATTATTATTTATTTTTTTACTTTATTTATTTATTTGAGTTACCCCAAATCTTCTTCGTAGGGAAACGCCCGTAAAAAAGCACCGAAGTTATATGACATCACTTTTGACTGACTCACAGCTGGGATGTTCACTGGACCAAGTGCCAACTTGCAATGAACATTTCAACACACCCCGGCGGCCAGAAAACCTGATGAAACTGGCGTCCATGTTGGTTCAACAGGACGCTCATCACTGTGTTAATCAAAGGGACTTCTGCGCCCTAATGTCCTAACGGCTCACGCAGTAACATTTGGCCTATCGGTCATTTTAAGCGACACCCCTGACAGTTTGGCATTTACAGTTTTATCCAATCATACAGGGCCATTGTTTTGAGTGACAGATTAAACAACCAATGAAAATTGTATATTTTGACAGAAAGAGTGGGAGAGGGCGTGTCCGGCTCGGAAGGTTGGTGGGTCGTCCTGTCGGTTGGGCCACGGAAGGACAGAGAGAGGAGGATTGCATGTGGATGGTCGTTTGGTGCATGGCGCGTGTTTTGAAGCTGCTTATGGAGAAATGTCTTGGGCCGTGAGTAGTGAGGAAACAGGAAGCGATTCTTGTGGGATGGAAGAGGGAAATAGTGACAATGAAGGTTGGAAGATAGCAACATCAAAAAATGAGAAAAAGCGGAAAAAACAGAGATCAGTTCAAGGGGAATCTAGTTCAGAACAATCCAGTGATGATCATTCCATACATTCCACAGCACAACAAAATGAATTCAAAGTCATATTCAAAGTCGTTAATCAGGCAGACTCTTTTACAAATTGGAATCCGGTTCACTTAACAAAAACCATCAATAAACTTGTCGGAGAAGTCAGAGGTGCCAGAATTCTGTACAGTGGAGACCTGCTAATTAACTGCAGAGACAGCGCCCAGCAAGGCAAAGCAATACGGATCAACAAAATTGACGGGATAAGAGTTCAGTGCAGCCTAATGGAGAACAAAAAGATCAGCAGGGGAGTCATTGGAGGAGTTCCTCTAAAAATTTCTGAAAAAGAGATTCTGGAAAACATAAGCGGTGCAAAAGTAAAAGAAGTAAAACGGTTAAAAACAACAAGAAACGGAGAAAGATCTGACAGTTTATCAGTGCTAATTAAATTTGAGGAAGAGCAATTACCAAGCAAAGTATTCATCGGTTACATAAGCTATAATGTCAAAATCTACAATCCTCCACCATTGAGATGTTTCAAATGCCAAAAATTCGGTCACATTGCAGCAGTTTGTAAAGGGAAACAGAGGTGTGGAAGGTGTGCAGGAGAACATGAGTACGGAAAATGTGGAAAAGAAGCTATAATAAAATGCTGTAATTGTGGTGGAGAACATACTGCTGCCTATCGCGGCTGTGAAGCAAGCAAAAGGTCTGAGGAAATTAAAAAAATGAAATTTGAGCTCGGAATAACCTACGCTGAAGCTGCAAAAAGGATCCCATCTCAGTCAGAAAAACCCAAACCTACAGTTCAACACACGGCAAATTCCAAACCTCTAGAGAATCAAAAAATTGATGAAGACTCACTTATTGTTAAAAAGACAAATTTTGTTCTTTTCATGGTAGAAGTAATTAATTGTACTGCACAGACAACAAAAAAAACGGAAAAAATCAAAATAATAGTGAAGGCTGCAGAAAAATACCTGGACATTAAAGATTTGAACTGGGAGATGGTTGGAAGTATGATGGGAGGACCGATGGGACCATCAGAAACTGGCAGAGTTAAGATGACCTAGAGTAAATTAAAATTATATGGGCAAATGTGATTTAGTATTATGTTGGTTTAAGTTACACAGGTTTTTTTTTTTTTTTTTTTTTTTTTTGGGTGAATCGTTTTCTGTTTTCTTGCTTTACTCCATATCAGTTGGTGGCGGTAATGCACAATTCACAAGCCTGCCAACCGCCATAAAACCCCATAAGAAGAAGAAGAAGAAGGGCGTGTCCATCGGTCCAGGGAGTCGCCGTTGTGGCTCCTATTCGAAGGCGACGGCGGTCGTCTGTGTTTCTGCTCTAATCTTATCTGTAACCCTAAATTCCGCCAAGCAGAGTCAGGGAATTAGATCCACTTTCATGTTCTGTTTATTCCAAGTTCTTCTTATTCGTGCGCTCGGTGGGGCTCTGGAATGAAGGCGTGTGCGGAGAATTTGAATTAGCTCGCAGATAGTTTGAAGAAAGAGTGAGTTGGGGTAGAGACGTAGAGAGGAGCCATTTTGTCCCGACTGTGTGGGAGAAAAGAAAGAGTGGAAAAGGGGAATCGAACGAGAGGAGATACAATTTTTTTTTGCTTTTTGTTCCTCATGTTGTAATTGAAGATATATTTCGGGACATTTCAACTTCTTGGACACATTTTTTAGTCCTTTATTTGGGTGGTTATTTTAGCCTGCTACTAGCTCTCCAAAGCTAATCAACAAATCCCAGATTGTTAACAGCCAGGAGGGCTGGAGCAGTTTGGTCAAGTTGGCCACGGAGCTGGATTTAGACTTTACGTAGCCGTGCTAGTGTTTCGTTTGTTTATTTTTGTATCCGAGTGAACACATACTGTTTTCTCAATGGCGAAAAAGACGTACGACTTGCTGTTCAAGCTGCTGCTGATCGGCGACTCGGGTGTGGGGAAGACCTGTGTGCTATTCCGCTTCTCTGACGACGCCTTTAACACAACCTTCATCTCTACCATAGGTAAGAATTTCAAAAGAGGGACACTTTTTTCTTCTTTTTTTGTTAGAGGTGTTTGCGACAGTTTCCAGACCTTTGTCGGTTTTTTTATGACACCTGGGAAAGTCGCTTGGCCCCCACCATGTAGCTGGAAATGGTAGGCAGGACATATTTGGTTAGCTGCTATGCTAGCATGCATCGTTTTTCCAGGCCTCGTCATACTCGGCAAATAGAAGGGGATACATGGTATATATTTGAGTACTACGAATTAAAATGATAAAAAAAATCAGGATAGTTTAAAATCATACTGGCGCTGAGTGAACGTTAACGTAGAGTCATATCTGTCATGTCTGGCTAAAAACGACGTGTTGGTAGCACTGCTAGGCGGCCATACTGTGACTCCCAACTCTGAAAAGTATCCCTCAAAGCAGGTGACAGACGTTAACTTCTGTACTACATCCAGTTAATAGCAATTTATTAATGGCGAATACAGATTAGAAAGCATTTGTAGCAAGTTTTTGTTTAGAAAAGTTGTTATTTTGGTGTACTCATCCGCTGACACTAATAATCTAAAATCTTACAACAAACTGGTATCTCAAAACTGCCGTTGGAAGAATAACAAAGTTAATAATTTTATAAGAGACTGTCAATGCATTGCAAGAATGGAGTGTGTCACTTTTGACATGCAAACATCTTCTGGCTCATACAGAATTGACAAAATATTTTCTTTTTGTTAAATATGACAAGATATCACAGACTAAAAACTATTTTTTGCAAATTAAAAGCACTTCAACTCCTGGCTTTGTTGGGTCAACTGTTCTGCCATAATGTTTACATGAAATAGAGAAATTGATAAATTGCATTCTAAGTCAGTTTACTTCATATTCTAGGAGACTATAAGTATTCATATTCTGGGGATATATCCTCACAATTGAAAGTAAAAAGAAGTTTGTGATTGTTCTGTGAAGAATTGACAGTAACATTACTCTTTTCTTCTCAGACAGTTGGGGAAAAATACCATTCTGTTACTTTCTCTTGCAGCTTTATACCTGCTCCATGCCGGCTGGTTGGACACGATTACCCAATATATCATGTCAGCAGATATTCAGTGTCAAATAATGAATTTTGGCATTTTCACTGCCTAATTATTGGTTGATTATAAAAGTCAAAGTGGCATTTATATTATTTAGTATAAATGTGGTCCTACAATCGCAGAGTAAACCAATTCTGTCTCCGACAGCTTTACCTAATAGAAGAAAACAATACTAACAGTTTATACTTTGTATGGGTATTCAATAGAAGTTTGTTTACATAAAAAAAGCCAGATTTTTTTTATTGGCAGGCAGATACTTTTGTAAAATATTGGAATCAAATAACAGTTTGATTTTATAGCTCTAGCCAAATTATGAAAAAAAACAACAACAAATGGAGCACACCTGGGCGCAGAAAAGAACCAGGTTTGTTAAAATATTTTGCCTTCAGACTGAGTGACGTTAACCATAAACAGGTTATCTTTCTTTAGGACTTTGTAGCTGTTGCCACAACACAATGACTTAATGACTTGATTGTATAAACAATGACATTAAAGCTTTGTATGACAGTCGCAGGGTAAGATCAGAGTGTTTTCATAGAGAGGAATCAATTTCTGTTGCATGTATTTAAGCAGTTCATGTAGCATAACACGTTTAACGTAATTTGTATGTAGGCAAAACCCTTTTGTTTTGTTCGTTGTAATTATCCTCTAGTCTTGCACCTTGTTAGTGAAGGAGCTAACAAGGTGCATGATTTCATGCCTTAGATGCTCAAGTGGGAGCCATAAACGAGCCTCAAGGGTGGCGTCATCAGCCGCTTTTTCTTTTTACATTGCTCTATACATGCGTCTAAAATTTAGCTGGCATTAGTTAAGTGTCAAAGTATCTCTAAGCCCAGCTCAGCCAAATTGAGGCTTCTAATTACTTTTATTGCCTAAGACCTGCTTTGAGTGATAATGAAACATTACTCTATCTTTGCAGTGCACTGGCAATATTGTCCCTGATCTTTGGACTCTACTTTCATTCAAGCCTTTTTTGTCTAAGTAACTTGCACCTGGTTAAGTTTTTCTGACTGTAGATTGTAAAGCCATTGTGAGTAATGCTTTTTCCAGTTCTGTCCAATTGGTTGTGGTTCAGACAAGAGCTGCTTTGCTGTTGCGGAGCTTGTTCTTACATGAAGACTTCTGCTTTTTATTCTGTACCTTTGCTCTGACTTGTGCTAGCGCTTTATTACAGTCAGTCCTTGTTGCTTGATTTAATTTTAAATCAGGCAGAGCTGACTAATACTAACCCTATCAAATCTTTCTTGTCTTAAAGAAAATATGTCACGGTGCTTTAAAACACCCGGCAATGCAGGCCAACAGGTTTTTTAGTAAAGAAAAGAGCAGAACTGACCTCGGCTCCTGGCCCACTATAGCCTTGGCAGCAGCCGCAGGTTTTTCTGTTTTCATTTATAGAAATGTGGAAATGAATCCAAGAGACTAGGCTCAGCAGAACAGTTTTTGGTGTTCATTTTTTAAAAAGTTGAATATAGTTTTTATTTTGTTAAAGTAGATGGTGAGGTGAACCCTTGCAGATGGCTAATTCGGTCCAAGAGCAGCGCTCCCCATCTTTAGATGTGGATGACGTTTATAGAGACTGTGCAGTGGAACACACCTGTCTGAATGACACAAATAAACTGAAAACACATGACATAACCCATTACTTAAATTATTTTATTATAATCACACAGCCTAGGATTTTAAACTAGAAACATCTGGTCAGTGATGACTATTTTCTCTGTCGAGCGACAAACTCTGTTAGAAACGTTTATTTACTGTTAAATTTGTTGCTATAATCAATGAAAAGTCAGCACTGTTTTATTACACAATCTGTTAGTCCAGCTGTTTTGTGTAATTACAGATAAGGTTGTTGGTAACCCACATTTTAAAAAAATGTTTTAATTATTAGGTTTATACATGTCAAACTTTACTTAAACATGAAAAGGAGTCTTTTAAGAAATTGAGTTTGAAAGTGCAGCCCGATAAGCACAATCATATAGCTTTTCAATCGCAATTGATTTGTGTAAAGTGTTTCAGCATTGCTGCCTTTCATCATTGGCATTCATAAAAATCACTATCTGCAGTCTGAGAACGCTGCCTATGTTTTCCTGCTGATCTTTTTATCCACAAATGGTGCATTTCACTGGTTGGTAACTAAAGTTTCAATATGACGACTGTAATTTAATAGAAATGGTTTACAGACTGTGCTAATTTTAGCTTTAAGGTTTTGCTTTAAGTATGATCTCTTTTTTTTTCATCCTTAAAATACAACTAGATACAAAACAAATATAATGTTCAGCTGTAAAATAACTGGAATCTTTTGAATGCATCTTCTGTGTCTGAGGTTTTTAAGCTCAGCTGTATTATTTTGTCATGAGAAAACCATGTGTGGTAATGTTGAGTGGTGAGAATGGGATTTTAGTTGCTAAGTTTAATGAAAAGCATGCTAATTTGAAAGGCATTCTTCAGTGAGGCCTTAAGGTTATCATTTTCACACTTGCTATTTCACTGATTACCGTATTTTCACGACTATAAGGCGCACTTAAACGTCTTTTTTTCCCCTAAAAAATGTGCGGTGCGCCCTTTGGTGCGGTGCGCCTTATGTGTGTTGTAACTGCGACTTTTGAGACCACCCCATTGAGGAGATGATGAAAGAGTGGCTGAATGTAAGGAGACCAGGTGTTTTTTTTCCACTCATCACCATCGCTGTTAATATGTGACTCCATGCGTGCCCATCTCACAGCTGATGTGAAAAACATGGGGAAACAAATTAACGCTGTGCTCGCTGTTCAACCGCTCGACATTCGGACCCAGCAGGTGCAGCAGAAGCAGCGAGTTTACATGCAAAGTCAATGGTTGACGCGCGTATAGGTGCAGCAAAAGGTCCCGCAGCGCGTTTTGAGCAGCAGCCGCAGTGCCTCGGGAGCGTTAGTATCTGACGCACCGCCAACCCGCTGCTGCTGCTCGAGATGGAAAAATTGAAGTTTTGCTGCTGGACGCGCCGCATCAACCAATCAGAGAAGCTGATCTGGGAGCTGACAGCGAGACAGACACAGCGCTCTGATGACATTAACGCAAATGAAAAAGGCTGGATGAATGAGGAGATGATGAAAGGCAGGTGTATGTGAGGAGACCAGGTGCTTTTTTCCATGCATCACCATCACTGCGTGCCCATCTCACAGCCGATGTGAAAAAAAAAAGGTGAATCAAATGAACGCTGTGCTCGCCGTTATCCTGGGGGTCTGACAAAGGAACTTCAACCGCTCGACATCGGTGTGAAGCGGCCGTTCAAAGTAAGGCTGCGAGCGGCGTGGGAGCGGTGGATGACAGACGGAGACCACAGTTTCAGGATAAGTGGAAGGCAGCGCCGGGCAAGTTACGCCACCGTTTGCGGATGGATTGTAGATGGACTAACGTGTCTGCTGGCTCTGTTGTTCAAGCTTTCGCAAAAGCCGGCATTATTTCTGAGGAGCCGCGCTGCACGGAAAGTGACTCTGACAGCGAAGATGGGAAACTGGCATGTCTGATTTAGCGCAGCTGTTTAATTCAGAAACAGAGGATGATGACTTTGATGGGTTTGATTAATACTTTGTAATAAATACATGAATAAAGCACAAACATACTCAGTTTTGCTCCCGCTCTATTTTTCTACCTGAAAACTTAATTCAACAGCAGCCTCTGGGCGGGTCTCCTCCTCTTCACCGCGGTGGCTGGCAGGTGTTTTTTCATCTAAATAATCTAAATCTTGCAGCTATATTTGCTGTGATCAGTGGGAATAAAGTAGTTTTAATATGTTTTTAAGTGAGAAAGGCCACCTGAAAACTTAATTGCAGTCAGTTCATCCAGATTATCTATTTCTGTCGGAGGCGCTCAGACCCCCACATACCAGCGGTGCACCGACAGTAGAAATCCTTTCATCAGCAGCCTCACCGCGGCGGCTGGCAGGTGTTTTTCATCTAAATAATTTAAACTGCAGGCACCAGGATACCGGCAATAAAAGCGAACATATTCCGTCGGCAGGTTTCAGGATTTTAAGTTAATTTAGGAGTGATCACAGCGCTGTGTCATCTGCGATGTGTCTGTCTCATGGCCAGCTCGCAGGTTTGATTAATACTTTGTAATAAATACATGAATAAAGCACAGTCATACTCAGTTTTGGGCCCGCTGTATTTTTAAAATACGCAGTAGAGCTATTTAAAGGTAGTAGAGGACATGTACCTGTATATAAAAAATGCGCCCTATAGTCCGGTGCGCCTTGTGTGTGTTAAATACAGAAATGGCACACATAACTGAGACTGCGCCTTTTAGTACGGTGCGCCTTATGGTCGTGAAAATACGGTACATTTCTATCTTCTAGATCAGAAAATAACCTTCACAAATATGTTCTGCACAATAAAATCTTAGCTTAAAATAAATAATTATGGACACTGTTAAAATCTGATGTAATTCCACTAGAGCTTGTGGCTATGCTAATTAAATTACCCTTAAACAGGACTACAAGTGTCACCCCAGATTATTGATTTAAGATGACCTATTCATTTTTCATCTTCAAAATGTGTTTACCAAAGTCTGTTGAGGATAACTGTCTGGAAAACAATTTATTATTAGATCTATTGAGAGTTTTAGATAAACAAAATTGTGTAATTGTTGGAACTGAAAACCTGAACCAGGAGATTGTCTTCCTCTGGTCCAGGTCTCATACCTTTTTTAGAGACAGCTGCTTCTCAAAATACCCCCATTGGAAACCCCCCTCATCTGTCATTATCCTTTCCAGCCTTGTTCCTTCTGTCCAGCTTTTCCTCCATGACCATTGGAGGACATGGATATTTCTTAACTTCTATGTATAGTGCAGCCTAATAGCTGTTATTAGAAAAGTCATTTCTTTTTTGTTTAACCGAAGCAAAGGACTTCTTTGGTATTTAGGATGGAGGAAAGAATTTATCCTGTCCAACTTAGAAACTTATGTAACATCTGGTGAGGATTTTAATATTATGTTGCCTTAGAAGTCCTCCCTCATCCATTTTCCATTTAATGGTTAAATAACCTTTAGTTAGGAAAAAAAAAAGTATTATAAGAAACTTGAAGGAAAAAGCTGTTACTAATAAAACTCTTTCACTATACATGAATTCTGATCCTGTTTATGTTTTTTTATCCCTCTAAAACTTTCTTTCTTTCCCCCCCCTCCTTCCTCTCCCTGGGGTATCTATAATATTTGATGAGTCACACTTTGGCACTCATTCCCCTCATTATTCTACAGCTCCACCCCTCCTAAAAAAACCCAGCTGTTTCTTCTACGTTTTGACCGTGCAGGCGTTCAGACTAAAGAAGAACTGACAGCTCAGAGTTAAACAGAGAAATGATGTTTATCCAACTCATAATAAAAACTTTTCTAACTGCCCAGTGTTTTCATACTTTTAAGACACGATGTTAATGTGCTATCCCAAAGTGTTTAAAGGCTTCAAATACTTCGTTTCACAGCATTTGATTCAAATACGTTTTGAAACTAAATTTTGGGGTCAGAGATTTTAAATGCCAAAGTAGCCATCATTAGTATGCTTTTCCTGTTATATATATTTTAGTATCAAGAAACTACTAAAGAAAAACAAAATCTTAAGTATCCTTAAAACAAAAAAAAACTTTGGTTTAAGGTGTTCTATAGACGGCATAACTGTTCCTCTGTTGACTATAGAAATGTAATAATACTTGTTGATGCTTTGCTCTGTTTTATGTTTATCTGATTAGCTTACATTGCTAAATATTATAAATTTGTTATGTATTGATACTTAAGTGACATGCATATTTTTATCTAGCTTCTAACTAAAGTTGAACACTTGGTTTCCCTTTTCATATTTATTTGTAAGAGTAAGTAAAACTAAGAAAAAAAAAATGGGCTAAATTATTGGGGAGAAAGATGACTTGATTGCTAATGTGGCTCATAATTGCTAGCAAACATCAACAGAGGACTCAGAGTAAAGCTGATACTTGGAATATAAACCAGTAGATACAACTTGGCTATCTGGTTACCAAAGAAAGTATCATTCAAATGTAACAGTTTTAATTGGGAAAATCTGTGCCTCAATTGCCATAAAAAGGCAAATCAAAGTACTAATGCATAGTGCAGATTGTCAAAAGTTAAAGTAACGCCATGCATTAGGAGAAAAAGTGTTGCAGTTAGTATCCCTATGGTGTTTAACCCTATCATTCTTTTTCTATAAATGTATTTAAGTAAATCTGATTAAAAATTTTAAGATTTTTTGTCTTTATTCCCAAATTCATGCTTAATACAAAAAAAAAAATCTGTTTTCAACAATATACTGCTACATCAAAGAAGTATATCTGATTTTAATACATTTGAAAGTATCCTAATAAGTAATATTGTTACTATCCCCTTTTTATGTATTTATTCTTTTAGGCCTTTATATTTATTTTTGAAAGAATGGGAACAGAGTATGCACTGGATAGCCTCATCCAGGGTTAAGGCCACTGTACATGCTGTTTCCTATATTCTAATGATATTTTCAGATTGATGGCTGCCTGTACTGGGATTGCTGTGTGTTAATTGTTTGGGATGCTGACCTCATGGGTTAAATGACCGGACATGAGTCTGCAGAGTCAGGGGAGGATGGCAATTTCTCTGGTGGAAATTATTTCTTCCATTTTTCTACTCCTTAATGTCGTATGTTGGCTGGAATCGTGACATATTTTTGTTGTTGTTTTTCATTGTTACAAAATATTTTTGTCAAATGATCGCTTCAATCTGTAATCAGTTGTGTCTTTCTTTTATTCTTTTTTTCATAGAATATGTCTGACAAGTACGTGTTTTTCCTTCCAGGAATAGACTTCAAGATTAAAACTGTTGAATTACAAGGAAAGAAGATCAAACTACAGATTTGGTAAGTCCCCCAAGATGTTTGTTTTTAGATTGTCAACCTTTCTGATACAGAATTAAGTTTAACCTTTTGAGTTTCTAAATGGTATCATAGCAAAACATCTGTTTGACATAACTCCCTAAAGCGTCGAAGAATGCAAGAACAGGAAATAGTCGCCAATAGTCCGTCAGGACATGTGCTGCATCATTGTAGTCCATAGCAGCTAATTCCCACCAGCTGGAGCTGAGTTTAACTGTCTGCTAACCAAATGTAGAAAAGTAAATGTTTTAAAAGTTGAATATTGTTGCTTTACTTGCTATTTTTTGTTACTAAGATGTTTTAATATCTATATTTACAGATGTAATAAGTACTTGAAGTATTTAGTTTTAAGATTTACATCCAGCAAATAGAAACCTGCACATCAACACCCAGTGGTGCAGTGAAATGGCTAAAAAACAGAATTTGAATGCTACAAAATATATCAGATTTTACTTGGGTACTATATATTATGGTTTGGACTAATTCAAACCAGTAGCTGATTTATTACAAACACATTTCTGGTCTAACGTCTCTGTGTGTGCTGTAAAGTTGTTGACTGAATAGTCTCCAATGTCGCTCTTGGCTGCTCTGCTAGCAGGACCATGCAGACCCATCAAGCTTAAACTAAGTTTTATCCATAGATTGGAGCGGCTAGCAGGCGAGCATTGAACACAACACTGTGGCTAACCAACCTAATCATAATCCTGTCTGCTTTGTGGAAAGTTTTTACACTAGAAACACAGCAAAGCAAGCCCTTAAAGTCATTCTACAGAGAGGCGGACGGGCCGCTCCATTACAATAAACCTAGATAAACTTTTAAAAAGCAGATTTTTTTTTTATTCTTGTTGGTGACATTTTCTATTTAATTCAATATAATGGCATATTTTTTTCCAGGATAGAATTTTGCTAACCACCATTTCCTGCTTCTTGGTAGGGAAATATGAGGACTGTTGGCCTTAATGGAGTTTTAACTTGAATGACTAACAGAATATTTGCATTTTAACTATTAATCCAACAATAAATAACTTTTTAACGTTCATAAAATATGGAGGCGGTGACGTCAGTGCAGGATTACTTTGCAAAACCAAAGTTAATTGTTTGATTGGTTGGTTATAGGGCTGCAACTAACGATTATTTTAAAAATCGATGAATCGGACGATTATTTTTTCGATTAATCGATGAATCGGACAAAAAATATTTTTTATATTAACCTCTTTATTCCAAAATAAACATTATAGACAGAACAAACAAGCACACAAGTACAGGTTGCTCATTAACTGTACTGGTGCAATATGAAAAATAAATGTTTGTGTTAAAACTACGCAAACTTACATGAGAAATGTAGCTGTACATCCACAAAATATAGGGTACTTTGTTTCATAAAGCGCAAAAAAATACATTTTTGTTTTTAAAAGCCTCTAAGGGGTTCAAACAATAGGCCCCCCCATTTCAACAAATGAGTTTTTTTTAGACTAGAAGAGGGCTGCCTTTTAAGACAGGAAAGTATAGCAGTTAAAGTTGCTACTTGAGAAAATACTGAACCATAGAGATAAAAATAGCCCTGTGATTCAAATTATAAATTGTATTTGGAATAAAAATGAGAGAACTAGGGGTGCTAAAAAACACATCCTCCAAAGACAGATATTTACATGGGAATGTGGCAAATATAATTAATTGACATATTACTGATCTTGCTGGATTTTATTCTGCTTTACTTCCATAAATTGCAGGATCTTCTTTACTTTATCTTTGCCAGAAGATTTAAACTTTAAAAGTCTTGCCCTCATAATTTGCAAGTTAATTTATTTATAAAGTAAATATAAACGCTGCTTAAGCTAATTCAAATGAAATTAAAAGTAAAATAAGTAGCCAACCTTATCACTGTCTGTAACCTACCAACACGGTAAGGAAAGCATCAGATGAGCTACCTGAGAAACTAACGTTACGTTTCCCCACTTTAAAACCAAACAAACATGGTGGTTCCGTGCCATGTTAATTTCTTTTGAAAAAAGTTGCATGTTATCACTTTTTTCGCTTTACAAAGCGCAGGCTATTTTAATTATTGTGATCAATTTGCGCCGTCAATCCCGGTGCATGCGCGCTTCATTTGCAGTCTGGACGCTGAGGCTCTGACTGAGAGGGACTCCTGCGGGAAAACGCGGTTGGGAGGCGCCCCACGGCAGAGTAGGAACGATGCATGCTTTCACGTAAGAGTCTCCAAAAGCCGCCAGTGACACCGAAAAAAGTCGCCAGATTTGTCGCTAGTCGCTTTTTTGAAAAATAGTCGCTGGAGAGGTCTGAAAAGTCGCGGAGTTGGCAACACTGCACCTGCGGCGCTGACTCGCTCTGCCGTATTTTTTTTTCTTCCTCTTTCAGTCAAGAGGCAGTGATGACGGCGCGGCAGATGACGCAATAATCGCGCGACACAACTAATCGATGATGAAATTCGTTGCCAACGCTTTTAAAAGTCGATTTTTATCGATTTTATCGATTCGTTGTTGCAGCCCTAGTTGGCTAGTAAATGGTTCTCTTTCAACAGAATTAAACCAGGTTGAAACTTAAACTTTTTTACTTGTGGAGTTCTTGGCAGAGATCATTAACAGACAAAGTCTATATATATAAATATATTAGGGGTGTGCAAAATAATCGTCATGACGATGCATCGCGATTCTAATTTTTGTGACCTGCTGCATCGATTCTTGATGCCAAGTATCCATTCTTAATTAACAAAAAGGAATAAATAAAATACATTGGTACACATCAGCCAAAAACAAGTGGAATACAACTTTCAGTCCAGTAGATGTCGCTGTGGATACTGCGACGAGTCATTTATAAACAAAACATGGAGACTGAGAAAATTTGCCCAGCTCCATTACATTCGAAGTCAGATGTTTGAATGCTTTTTGGCTTTGAAAACAAAGAATGTAAAAACTGAATTGATAAAACGCACGTAATTTGCAAAAGGGGAAATGTCAAACATTTGAATGTTTCCATTTCATTGGTTTAAAGGACCACTGAGGCCATGTAAACGGCACTGTTATTTTAAGTTTTATAAATCCTAAGCACTTTTTGTCAGTGTGTCCACTCCAGTAATGGTAATATTTGTGTCCAGTATTTGTTTTTATTTCAGTACCTTCGATAGTTGTTTCAATAAATAAAGCTATGTATGAATTCAGTTGCTTTCAGTTATGTGTCAATTGAAGACACTATCCAGATCACACACAGCCAGTCAGCCACTGGTAATAGCTGTATTTTTTTCTTACAGTGTTCAGTGAAAATATCGCAATGCATCGTGATAAAATCGAATCGTGACTTCTTTGGCAATACCCACCCCTGATATATATATAATTTACAATTTTGGTATAGTTACTGCTCCATATGCAGCTGTTAGCCAAAGGCAGGTTTTAGAGTCTCTATAGTCCAGTTAACGATTAATTGATTACTAAATCAGCTGATGTTTATGTTAATAATCGATTAATCACAAATCCAATCTTTTCAGCCCTAGTTACATATAAGGAAAAAAGGGTAAATTCGGTTGTCTGAAATGTCACTGAGTTTTGGATAAAGCATATTTGCATCAAATTAATAATTTCACCTCTATTGCTAATTGCATATTTTGTTCATACAGTTTTTGGTTGGGTACGGCTCTACTTAGGTCGTTCTTTTGCCAAAAGGTGTGTTTTCCAGTGCGGAGAGTTTACTCCATTTAAAAATTATTTAATTAGTGATTACCGTGGTAAGGTTTACAGTACTGGTTTAATCGTTTCAGCCCTGGGTTCTGGTTTCTTTTAAAACCTGGCCATAGCCTGGTGCATCTTTAGAAAATGACAAGAGACTGGAGAATAACACTGCTTTTCATTCAGTAGAACTAAAATAGCACCAGTTTAAAACAGACCTTCGCTAACTGAAAGAAAAGTAATTTATTTTACATCTAAACCATCCCGTTCAGTCCAAACTTATCAGTCTGTTTTAAGCTATTCAAACACAATCCACTCTGATAAAGTTGTACTTTTTATTGGAGTATAAATGCTTGGATAAATTATTCCAAATGTCAAAACTGTATTAAAAAAAAACCTGTTATCTTTATTTTGAATGAGAATATTTTTTGTCTGTTTACATGGCATGATTTTGAACAGGCATCTTATAGAAGAATCCCTCCAAATATTTGGTTTTTCTTCATAGAGAGAAAAAATATTTTGAGGAAGTTGAAAAGTGTTCACTAAATTATGAGCATTAGCCTATGAATTCATTGTAGAAAAAAAATCAATCTTTTGTTTGCAGGGACACAGCAGGGCAGGAACGGTTCCACACCATCACCACCTCCTACTACAGAGGAGCTATGGGCATCATGCTGGTGTACGACATCACTAACGCCAAGAGCTTTGAAAACATCAGCAAATGGCTGCGCAACATTGATGAGGTGAGAGCCACAGAAACTGTGCTTAACTATTTATTCCCTTCTGTTTGTTATTCTTGCTTTTACATAAAGGTAGGCTAATTTAGGTCAAATGTGTTTTGTAATAAGGGATTTCTACTGAAATTTATGTCATTATAATCAAGTTTGAAAGTGTTGGGTGAAACATTGGGAGATTTCTGACTTTTTCGTAATTTGTGTCACTATTTTTTATTTTTTTTCAAACCACTTTAATCATGCATTATTAAACTAAAAAGGTGTGACATTGGTTATTTAAGTGAAAGGGGAATCTCTTGGAAGTCTGCATGCTGGTATGTCCTTTTGAAGCATTATGCACAGTGAAAAACTTGTGAATTTTGTTTTCTTACACTCCTTATTAACGCCTTAACCAGAAAACAATAATTACACATATTTAAATAGACTCTGGATAGATATCAACAAATCCTTTCAATAAAAAATTCAATAATTTCAAAGAATTCGTAGAGTAACACAGCATTCTGGGGTATGTAAGCAAGTGAAAGGAATGGATTTTGCTTCTTGACCCTTGATGATCAAACAACCTGACCTTTTTTTTAAGATTAAAGGGTACTATTTTAATTATCTCTTATTCCCTTCTTCCTCGTTGCAAATACATTGAGAGATGTTTTTCAGACATATCCCACAGCCCTATTCCTTATATTTAGATCTTATATTTAACTTCATTATAAAGTGCTTCAGTGCTACAGTTGATGCGTAAATCTAATGACTTCAACATGTAAAGTTCTAAAGATATTTTTTTGATTTAATCTCTATAATGGTCAATCTAAAACAATAATTTCAGAGAAGAGTGGGTGGTGCTTTACTTATGGGAATCTATCATAGTTTTCATTTTTGTACGATATCTTATCTATAGTAGTAGTATCAGTATTTTATTACCGAATAGACCTGATAAAAATCAGATTTTTTTTCAGTATTTTCTTTAAAAGTTTGTTTATCTTTAACAAAATTTTATTCAGAGTAAACGGGTCTTGTTAACAGTTTTGGAAACAGAAACGGTCCAGGCAAGTTGGCATGCCAGAAGTAGCAATGAAATGGCCCTCACCACACCTGTACCTCTTAAAGATGCTCAAACTTCTCTAGGGTTATGTATTGATTTGTTTGGATATTCACTAATGAAGTTTGAGGTTTAATTGTATTTTTTTTTTATGCCATCCAAAATAAATCTTAAAGTTGCTCCTATCAGACATAATCCTCAGAAATGACTTGAACAAACTAATCTTGCTCTCTTTTCAGCATGCAAATGAAGATGTTGAGAGAATGCTGCTAGGCAACAAGTGCGACATGGAGGACAAGAGGATTGTACCAAAAGCCAAGGGAGAGCAGGTGAGAGGAACTGTCCCCCATTCCCCCCATGATAAAGGCACGTTTGTGATCAATGTTCAATCAACTGATTTGCTGCTGCTTCTCCTTAAGTTCAGATCACTCTAGTTACACTTAAGGTTTTTGCTACATACTGTACAGCTTGTTGTTAGTTTTACACCATAAAGATTTGTGCAATATATTTTTACTTTTTTTTGCATAAAAAACAAATGGTTTCTATTATAAATGTGATGGAGAAACTGTCCTTTAATGTTGATCCTTAGTAATTGAGGCAGTTGGTCACAAAAGCTCTTGAGCAATCTGAACATACATGGTAATTATCATTGAAGAATTACTTGCTTATATTTTTGTATTACAATGGATCAATAAATGTGAACAATGAAACTATACTTCTTGATCTGGATAGTGAAACCTGGATCCTTTTAGGTTTTTTCCATAGGATATTGTCAGCGTCACTGATTACTGTGCCCTTTGTTTTTACATGAGGCTTTATTAATATTCAGGTTGACTTTTGGACTACTTACTCATACCATCTTATCAGTTGTGCAATGCACCAGCGTTACATGATCTAGGCCCTGCAGGGAAGATCAGCGATTTTTATTTTTAGACTGAACCTTCTTCAAACAACGTCCATGGTTACTAAGTCTGTTTTTGTGTCCATAGATCGCAAGGGAGCATGGCATTAGGTTTTTTGAGACGAGTGCTAAGGCCAACATCAACATCGAGAAGGCTTTCCTCACGTTAGCAGAAGACATCCTCAGAAAGGTTTGTATGGCTCATCAGATCAAGATAAACGTGTGCTTTGTGTGTTTGTCACATTGTTAAGTAGGAATAAAGTAGGAATCATTTCCAACACTCCAACTTTTTTATTCTTCAAAATAAATGATCACGCAGTTCTCTGAGGTTTTGGTCACCAGGACGACACGTTTTCCTGGACTTTCTAAACTTCGCTTAACCATGGCCTGGGAAGTGGTTTTGTTTTAAGAGTTTGCAACCTTTTTTTGAAAGTAACTAGACAGGAAAGGGAGTGGAGAAAAATGCAAAATGTTGAATTTGTGCAGAAACTGCTGCCTTTTGTAGTATTTTCTGTAATCATCAAGATTTCTAACCTGACAACAGCCAGATGCATGTCTCGCTCCGCCCAGCTCCACTCACATACATCTGGGAACCCGCTCATTGAAAGTGATTTCCCCAACCGAATTTATGGTCTGTCCAATCAGGATGCAGGGCGGGTGTGTCCTGGAGTGGAGAAGCGACCGTGAGATTCCAACAACAATGGCGGCTCGCATTGAGGAAGCAAGCGTTAGCATTGATGCTGCTATTTATTCTGTGTTGTCCAATCTATCTGATATTGTTTCATTAAAAGAACATCAGAGAACGGCTTTGAAGGCTTTTGTTGGTGGAAACGATGTTTTCGCCCTTCTCCCGACCGGATTTGGCAAGAGCTTGATCTACCAAATGGCTCCTCCTCTCACAGCGTCACGGGTTAGCTTCGGTGTGAGTGGTTGAAATAGCACGTCAATAAAGATGACAGACAAGTGGCTTATCCAATCATATGCAAGGAGTTTTGATAAGGCCCAGCCTTCAGTAAAGGCAATTCCTATGGCGGGTTCCCAGATGTATGTGAGTGGAGCTAGGCGGGGCGAGACATGCATCTGGCTGTTGTCAGGTTACAAGATTTCAGCCTCTGCAATCAAAATTAGCTGTTTTATACCTGCAATGGGTAACATGGCATTGCATTGTTGAATCAAACCAGAGCAGCTTTCTGTGTTAAATTTTTACTTCCAGTGGTTTTGGCGTAAAGCGGCAGCTTAATATCACTTTAAATATTTTTATTTTTATTTTGAATGGATAGTAAATCTAGAAAAAAACATGACTAGTCATACTTTGAGCTAAGTAAGCTAAACAGATGATATATATGCTTGAAATTCTTGAGCCACTTTCTGACTGAAAAGGCACAGAGGGGAGATTTTTAAATACAGATTTTTGTAAAGCCATATGCTTTCTGTTCAATTTACCTTTAAAGGTATATTTCTTATTCATACAAAGCAGGTGTAACCAATTAAATATCAGTAGGGTCTGAATAAAGAAAATTAACAACCAGTAAAGGTCCGGATAAATTTTACTTTAAACAGCATTTAACACTGAAATAAAATGCAGGTGTTTATGCATTTATGTTATGCATTGACTTTCAAATATATATATATATATATATATATATATATATATATATATATATATATATATATATATATAAACAGAATGTTTTTCCATTTTAGAATCTGAAATTGTTTTTGAAGTAGAGAACAACAATCGTTCAGTTTGGTATATAGACGATTTCCTGACTCATTTTTTTTTATAACGCCTTTTTTCTTTCTTTTTTTTTATGGCTTAATGAGAGAAGTGGGCTTTAGGCTGAATTGGCGACAAAGCTATTCTCAGGCACATATTAAGGTGCTCATTTTGAGCCTGGATCCATATTTATTTCTGATTTTCATGGTTTCACAGCAGCAGGTTAAGCCAAACATACTCAGAATGTGCAGGGTCAACTTTGAGCATGCCATTTCTATTTTCTTTTACTAGTTCACCACGCTTCTTTCAGCTGTCCACACTTTCTCTGCTCTCTCTTTCTCGTTGTCTCCTTCTTTCCCATCGCCCGACTTGCCATAGGTTTGCCTGCTGTGTCTAAAAGTAGCTAGCAGCAGCAACCCAGACTGACAGCAGCTCATTGGCTAATTTGTATCACAAGAAGCCTGATGCTGGACGCTCCGGGTGGCTTTACCATACAAACAGGAGAAGCGGAGCTTCAGTGACCTTTAGACACTGTCGTCGGACAACGTGCAGTAATTTATAAATGTTTTAAATCAGGTTTGGTCCAGATTAGTCAACGGGTGGGTCCAGATCCGGACCCTGCTCCCCTAATCCGTGACTTTTGATATAAAGAAATTTTTTTTCAATTTCAATAAATTCCATTAAACCTTTCAAATAAATGGGTGAAAAAAGGGTTTTGGTGTAAGTTTTATAAATCCTTTATTTTTACCACAAAAGAGCAATAAAAAAAAGGTGTTTGTTAGAGATGGCATCACAATGTGGAAAAAGAATAATCTTTGCTGCAGAACTTTGGTAAAGAAGATTAGAAATTCTCTCTTGAACATGTCTTCCTCATTTAGCATCATTAATAAACTAACATGATAAACTGTAAATGTCAAGCTTTATGTGTAATACTCATAGTTTAAAAAGATTCTTATTAATCTATAAAATGTCCAAAGTCTCTCTGGCTTTCCTTTATTAAGCATGATGCATGTATAATAGAATTGCACCCTTCAAAGGGTAATACAGGGCAGGTTTACTGTTTTCCAGCTTCCAGTATTTGCAGAAGTGGTTTGCTTTTTAAAGTAGCAGCCTTTAGGAAAAGCTACTGAACTATAATCACTTTTTTGTAAAAGTTCCTTTGACAAAATTTTCACGCATCCAGAAAACGAAAGAAGTTTGTCTCTTTACTCCTGTAACAACTTCAGCACTAAATAGCGGTTAGCGCATCCCGTGGTTTTCTTTTTTATTTTATTTTTCTTTTTTTTGACAAAGTGATCCCTCATGGGAGCAAATTACAAGTTGCATCTCTGCTGTATCCCCCTGTAATGTAGATGTATTATAGAATAACTTTACAACTAAATAAACACCATGTGGTTTAAATTTCTAAATGACCACGTCTATCTATATCCATCTATCCATCCATTTTTTTTTATCACTATAAATTAAGTCCATGCCTCTAAAAAAAACAAGATAAAAATTAATGTTTTGGGTTTTTTTCATTAGAAAATGCTAAAATGAGTAATTTAGGAACAGATGCAGTTGATAGTTTATTTATTCCTAAACTTCAGTGTGTCACCAGAGACGGGTATAACATACAATTAAAAGTTTATAATCCGATATAACCAGGAAAATTGTGTTTAGTGTTTAGGCCTTAGATTACAGATCCAGGTAATTATGTGGCCGTGAAGGAAAAATAAATCCCCACCCATGAAGTAGCGGATGGTTGCAAAACTCCAGTGATAAATGAAAGGGAGGTAGTTATTGCTTTATCTTGGATACAATCAGCAATGCTAACAAAATACCTGTCCAAATTCTAGAGTGATTTAATGTCATTTTTCTTAACGGTTGTTTTGTCTGCATTTTGTTCTGCAGACGCCTGTAAAAGAGCCCAACAGTGAAAATGTGGACATCACCAATGGAGGTGGAGTCACAGGCTGGAAGAGCAAGTGCTGCAGCTGAACAACTCCTCAGTTTTCACCCACACTAACGCACACAGTCTCACACACACACAGACACGCATACAATCTCTTTAACTGCTAACTCTAACTGTCTCGCCCTCTAACCTGTCTCATGAGTTTTTCTCTTACACTGACATTTTGTCTCTTTATCAGAATAAAACAATAAACCACTTCAGTTGTCTAACCACCCTCTCCTTCTCCACATCATATTCCTCCACCATGCATCTGATTATCATTTTTATTTCTGATAAAAGGAGAAATCCAGTCACGTTTCTTGTCATTTGTTTTAACGGTTGTTTAAAAAGAAAAGACAAACCTATGAAAAGACAATATTTTTAATATTTCCTTTTGCTTGAGCTCACTTGGTTGGACTCACTACCCCCCCTCCCGCCCTTCTAAACACCGCCCACCCACAGCTCTCACTTTCAGAGAAACTAAACAAAAAATAAAATCAGACCAAAAAAAGAAACTACTATAGTAGTAACATTTTGTACACTTAGTGGGCTTTCTGTCATCTTACTGTGTTTGTTTATTTACACTTTGTTACTGAGTGACAGAGGCGTGGCTAGCTCCTTTTGTATGTGGGGGTTTATTTTGTCCTGTGCCTTATATGGAAGACAGGGGTGTGGCTGTGTGGTGGGTGGAGCCACATCTACCCAATGAGATTACAGTTCAATAATCTGTCAGTTTTTGAAGAAGTGGAACTGAAGCTAAAACGTTTGAATTTCTTCTTCAGCCAAGAGAACGGTATTATACAGTATGTCCTGTTTATTGATGTTTTATTTTTATCTGTATGGATTATTTTACTTTATATGTTTGAGTTCTTTTTTTTTTTTTTCCTATTTTTTTTTTCTTTTTTTGCATGCAGGTTTCTTTGGGTTGGAGACGTTTCTGTAACATTGTGTAACGTTTGCCACTGGGTAACTGTGGGCTGGGAGGTACACAAGTTCTCTTTGGAAATTCAGACAGTTTTGCAGATCCATTAAAAAGTAAGCTTGTTTAAGTTAACTTGTTGTCCTCAATCATGTACAGAACGAAGACTGAAGTCTGTTTCAGCCATGGTGAAATCCATCAGCCTTATCACTGGCTTTAAAATCGCTAATAGTCCTTACATTGCTGATAATGTAAACCTAATGTATTAAAATCAAATGTTAAAACTATTCCAGCTGATACTGTGAATAGTTTGTTGCTCAGAAATGCTGTTTGAACCTTTTAAATACTGGCAGCAAATATAAATTAGACATATTTTAATCAAGAAATTAAAATGTTACTACCGTATTATATTTAATGGTTAATCAGCTGTGTTTGAAAATGGGAATAAAAATCTGGTTATTTTAATGAGTTCAATTAAACAAATTATTCATCCCAAAGGGAAATTACCTAAATTAAAGCCTCTTCTCAATATAGTTGCGCACTACAAAAAAAATGTATTAATAAAATTAAAAGTATAAATTAATATAACACAAATCATTGTCATCTGGCTCCCCCTGGTGGCATTAGCTTTTTTGATTTTTAGATTTAAATTGTAGAATTAACTTCTGCACTGATAGATTTATTCTAAAGATTTATGTTTGTAAGGCTAACTCTTAACTATATTAAATCTTATAAAAGCCATAATATGTGAGTCAATCTATAATAAAAAAAATAGGGGTTTGTGTTTTAGTGCTAAGGAATGTTCTTAATTATGATTGGGTTTTATTAAAACCTGAAGGCCAACTGTAATATTTTGGAGACATTTTGAAATAAAGATGACATTTGCCTGAGGGGTTTGCCAATACTTTTATGTCATGCTTTGAAAGTATTTTTAAGTTGGCATATTTTAATAAGAGGGGATCTAAGTTGATCTGGTCCTTTCAGCTCGTGTACTGTATGAGACGCCATTGCTTTTACACCTAGTTATCTGATTAGGTGACCCTCCTGGTAAATTATCTACCTCATTGCTAATGATCCCTAACACCTTTTGAATATGCACCTTTCCACAGGCAAATACAATCAAGTGACGATTTCGGATTTCAAATATTTTTACCATGCAATAAGACAGTTTGCGAGGCATAAACCTGATGAGGGTTTAAAAGAAAAAGAAAAAAAGGGTTCAACATCAAGATGATGAATTTAGATGTGCATCTCAAGCCCTGCGATGCCTTGGCGACCTGTCCAGGGTGTACCCCACCTATCCCCTGTAGACAGCTGCACCAGCACGCCTTGCGACTCCACTTGGTATAACGTGATGGATGTGCATCTCAAATCAGATTAACAAGAATTAATTTTAGTAATTTGAAAAGAAAATGACAGATCCAGTACACAGATTTACAGCATGCCAATGCTTTTCCTTTGAAACAGTTTTTGAATTGCACAATCGCTGTAAAGCCTGTTTTTATAATCGCCCAGCAATACCTTTCAGCTTCCATTGAAAAAGCATGCTGTTCAGTGCTTTATACAGAAGAAATCTAAAAAGTTGAGTGGAAGGAAAAAGTGTCAGAAGTGCACTAGTAGGACGGACAAGCAGAGTTTACAGGTTTGAAAAGGATTCACGAGACATGGACCATGAACAAGTACCTGAAATCTGAGCTCCCAACTATCCTACTCATTAAGTTACTCTTTATCCATTAACACCATCTTCCAGTCCTCATTTTAAAATTTAGTGCCCTCTTCATGCATTTAACAAAAATGTTCCAAACCCTGGTCCTCAACCACTTTTATAATTTAGACGTCTGAATCATCACAATTGACTGCGTTGAATAAGGTGAATGTGTATTTTTTAATTACATCATTACTTTTAACAGCAGCAGAAAGATTGACCTTTTATCTACTCCTTGAAAAGTATATTCACAGAACAACATTGGTAGATCTTTCACTATGGGAGCATTTTATTTAACCATTTATTTTAAGTCTGGGTGCAGAACAAATGCTTTACAGTAAATTTACTTTATTGTTGGTACGTTTCTGTATTAAAAACAAATTGGTCGAAGTGAAGCAACAACTTTATGACCTGAATTTGTAAGAATACTAATAGAAGTATTTAAAGTTAAAAGGTCCAAAGCTTTGGAATGATTAAAAGACTTAAGAGTACTAAGGCTAAACTGACTTATCCTTAATTTATGAAATATTAAAAACTTTTTAAACCATCTAAATAAATCCCTTTATGGTCTCATGCAGTCTTTGCACTGGGCTAAATGAAGAAAATAAAACCCATCAGCTCTAAAGTTCTTTTTATTATTACCCTCTTCCCAAAAATTTCCACAACAAAAAATGTACACAAAAATAAATTTCTCTCAACAATTACAAAACAACCAGTGCATAATGACAGTGGTCATTATTAAATCAACCAGAACTACATTTAGAGATTCCTACACAGTAAAAGTACAGCAAGGAAGTAATATTTATGATCAAGAATACAGTTTTGTATTTAAAAAAAAAATTTAAGTTTAGTGTTTTATTTTACGAAAGTCACAGTGAGGAGCCCAAAGGATGTAGTTGTTAGGTACCTAGAAACAGCATTAAAAAAAATGAGGAAAACCTTGTTTAGTGCTTTGGTTTGCAGAATAACTAAACCTAGTCGATGTAAAATAGTGTCGGAAATAAAAAGTACATAATGACTAAAGACAGCAGCGGTACACAGACCAGGGTCTGTCCAGAAGGAGGGGAGGAAAAATGAGTTCAAAGGGAACAGAAAATATTTACATCCATGGTGTACAACTTAATTTATAAATACATTTAAGTATAAATTAGAAAAATAAAAAACAAAACTAATGTAGTACAATCAACTACTGCTACGTTTTAAAATGCCAGACTGATTATTAACCCTTGTAATATTTGGTGAAAAAAAAAAAAAGGCACAGCAATGAAAACTGATTAGAACAATTTATCCCTGTGAATAATACGAGCCATGATTCTAAGCACCCCCATTGCAACAACTGAAAATATAAATTAAGACAAATAATAGACTCAAGCAGCATCGACTCTAGTGTCAATAAATTAAAGCGCTATGGGGCGGTTGCGATAAGTTGTCAATAAAAAAAATGGCACCCTGATCATTTTAATCCTGTTTTCTTGTCGAAGGGTTAGTCAACACTCACAGTGCACATTATTTACATCAAAAACTGGGAAGATGTATGATTGTGATTAGTTTCGCCTGAAGACAGACAGCATATCTGATCCTGTTATGAGAACAAAATCATTCAATTAAAATTAACAAACCATTAAGCAACTATTTTCATTTGCACGCAAAACTGGGTTTGGAAGAGAGAGAAAAAAAAAATCTATTAACTGCTGTTTTAGCGAAGGACTAATTTCATACAGAACTGGAGGGGGAAAAAAAAAAAACTGAGAAATGATGCTGACAAGACTAAGAATAAGAGCTGTTATAGTCAAAAATCCATCTTTTAAAATTTTACAATTACTTCTTACTGATGTAAATTTCTCAGGATTTGAAACCCAATCAGAATTTTTGGCTAATCTTTCACCTTCTAACATTGATTAATGCCCAATGGATTCCACTTTAAGAGGATTTAGGACCTGCATTCTGTTCAAGCCTTCCTGCTGGATGATAGAAACAGATTGAAAGCTGCAAGTATCTACATCCTGGGAAATTAATTTTAATAAATGTTTGCAAACATTCAGTATGGTTGAAAATATGACTTTTACCATGTCTGCTAATGTTGGGCCACAAGAATGTCAATACAGATTGAATATGATTTAATGCAGTTTATCAATACTTCAAGTGACACTATTGCCAAACAATAACTGAGATTCATTTAATACTTGGTAGTATCGTTTACCTTTATCTCAATAACAGAATGCCAAAATATTCAAAGTCCTGTCGCTTTTCACTAGCCGATGTTTAAAAGATCAAACAGAGAAACACTGCAATAACTTAACCTTCCTGTTATTTGCTTAAAGCCTCTCACTCTCACTTTTATGAAACATGCGTCAACACCTTATAGAAAATGCAGCCTAGCAGTTGTATTGAAAATAGCTTTTTGAATTACTGTGCTCCCTCTCATTTATTTTTAAACACCTCTCTGATAGTGAAGTATAACCGCGAGCTGCCGTAATAGTCCCACACTGAGGAGGGTCCTGGTTTCCATGCCAACAAACTGTATCTTTATAAGGTTTGGAGGCTCTTTTAATAATCTGTTAATAATTGGGCATTTCAAAGCTTTTCAGACATCTTTCCTCCTGTCATCATGCTTTTTAGTTTTTCTGACTCCAGGTCAGTTCCATTTCTAGATATCAAGTTCTGCTAGCTCTTCGTTTGTACATTTCAATGTAGTTTAATGCTACTGTGCTGCTTTGTTCGAATTCTCCGACATATTCTTCCTATTTTCACAGGTTTTAAATGCTTTATCTTGCAACCTCCCTTCACTCACGTTAAAAGATCTGTTTATAAGGAACTACACATAAACCAGGTCTCTGCCCTGTTTCTCCTGATCCGTGCCGTCCGCCTCGTCCTCGTCGCAGCCCTCGTACTCGATGGGTTTGGGGCAGCTGTAGGGGTGTCCGTTGTCGTCGAAGAAGCGCCGGAAGGTGAATTCATAAAAGGCGTGCTCGGGGTGCTTCCCGTTGCGGAACCAACCGCTCAGAGTGTCGTTGTGGTTGCTCTCATCGTCGCTTCTGCGCAGCTTTTCTGGCTCCACGGGGTCAAAGTTGGAGGTGTCCGTGGGGTGAGCGATGGTGGGGATGTAGGGAGCCGCCTGCTGTCGTAGGTCGCTGGAGAAGTTGACGCTCTTGAAGAAAGGATGAGCTTTGATCTCGTCTGCGCCGTTCTTCCCAAGGCGGTCCTCTGGGCCACGACACAGTTTAACTATGAGATCCGAGGCTTCTGGGCTGAGCTTGCACTGAGGGGGGATGTGCAGCGTGCTCTTCCAGTTAATCACCTGGTTTCAATGACACAGACACAACACTGAAGCAACAGGAAGTCTGCGACTGCGTAACAATGCAGGGCAAGCCTTTCATACCTTCATCTGCGTCTCCAGGGGTGTGTTTGCCAGGAATGGAGGCTGTCCAACAACCATTTCATACAGGATGACACCAACACTCCACCAGTCACACAGCTGGGTGTATCCTGCAGCGGATAAAATCAACTTTCTATCAAGCAGATCTTATCTGAGGATAATTCATAGATGGCTGCCAAACTACAGCTATTAAAAATGGCAGAGTTTTATATCATAATTAGAAATCTCTGTGTCTCACCCACAGTACCTGTTCTGAGAAGAACCTCTGGGGCAATATAGTTAGGCGTTCCCACCAGGGAGTGGGCCAGGCAACGCTGGTGCTGCCGGGCCTTCCTCCTCTCCAGGGGTTTCAGGCGATTGGAACAGCGACAGTTGGCCGGATCTTCCCATTCCTTACTGAAGTCCATGCTGTCCTGCCTCACATGATCCCCTACCAAGAGATCAGTTTGTAAATAAACTTTTTCTTTTCTTCAAATAACTATAGTCCAGGTTTACATGATAAAGATGCATTAAAAGTCAGCAACTATGAGGACAGTTTATTCTAATATTTTAAAGGAAGAAAGGATTTTTCCAACAGTTAAGGGATTCAATTTGTCAAATATTTCTAAAGAGAAAGAAGAAAACTGTCATTAGCAATAGTGACAGATTTTATGGAAAGGTTTTCAGGTGTTAGCCTCTTTATCTTTATTTTTTAATAAATTGAATACTATAACTTTTTATTATAATTATGTGCCGTTTTTAATCCAACAACATTAAGAATTGTTCAGAGCTAAAAAAAACTAAAAATATTCCCCTAAGACACAATTATGGGAAAAAGGTTTTTGGATTTGTTTAGACAATATTTCAATTAGGAGACCGTTTTTTTCCTCCTGTAATGGTAAGCTATATTCGGATTTTCTTACAGCACGTTGTGTAAAACTAATTTAAATTTGAATTAATCGAGTTAATGGAGCCGAAGGAGGAGGTTGGGGTTTGTAGCCGTTTGGGCAGCTGCTCCGTTATCATTTCCTGTTAGAAGTAGGGTTGTCACGATACTAAACTTTTCAACTCGATACCGATACTAAGGAAAATATTCTATAATCGATACCATTTTCGATACCACAAGGATTAAAAACAAAGACTCAAATTCAACAAAAATTTTCATTAATAATAAAATACAATAGATAAATACAATAAACAATAAGAACAACATTTTGAGGTTGTTTGCTGTGCAGAGTATTAAGCAAGCTTGATAAAAAAAAATTACAAAATTAAAATTAAGTTTTCCTTACTTGGCTATGCTTTGCACACATAACAATGACGCTAGCCAAACTGGTTAAGAAACAAAAATAATTCTCAGCAGCTGCACCTCTTACAAAAAAAGTCTGAAACTGAAAAGTGCACAGAATTAATCACACAGTGTTCATTAAGTGCATTTTCCTCTATTCTGCACTTTAGGTGAATGACTGTTTAGGTGCCACTGGTGGAGAATGAGTATTGTATCCGGATACAACGTTTCAGTATCGATACTTTTTTGAGTATCGATACTTTTGACAACCCTAGTTAGAAGTGAGACTGCCTTCCAATCTGCTCCACTGTCTAACAGTTGCAAAGCTGCTGTGGCCACAACCTAACTCAGCACCATCAGCGTGTGAAAGTATGTCACTGCTTGAACGTAGTGCAACTTGCTAAACAGTGCAGCTTACCCAAATACTCATCAGACATACAGGTGCTGGTCATAAAATTAGAATATCATGAAAAAGTAGATTGATTTCAGTAATTCCATTTAAAAAGTGAAACTTGTATATTATATTCATACATTACATACAAACTCATATATTTCAGATGTTTATTTTGTTTAATTTTGATGATTACAAATGACAACAAATGAAAATCTCAAATTCATCATATCAGAAAATTAGAATATTGTGAAAAGGTTCAAAATTGATGGCCCCTGGTGCCACACTCTAATCAGCTAATTAACTCAAACCACCTGCAAAAGCCTTTAAATGGTCTTTCAGTCTAGTTCTATAGGCTACACAATCATGGGGAAGACTGCTGACTTGACAGTTGTCCAAAAGACGACCATCGACACCTTGCACAAGGAGGGCAAGACACAAAAGGTCATCGCTAAAGAGGCTGGCTGTTCACAGAGCTCAGTGTCCAAGCACATTAATAGAGAGGCGAAGGGAAGGAAAAGATGTGGTCGAAAAAAGTGTACAAGCAAGAGAGATAACCGCACCCTGGAGAGGATTGTGAAACAAAACCCATTCAAAAATGTGGGGGAGATTCACAAAGAGTGGACTGCAGCTGGAGTGAGTGCTTCAAGAACCACCACACACAGACGTATGAAAGACATGGGTTTCTGCTGTCGCATTCCTTGTGTCAAGCCACTCTTGAACCACAGACAGCGTCAGAACCGTCTTGCCTGGGCTAAAGAGAAACAGGACTGGACTGCTGGTGAGTGGTCCAAAGTCATGTTCTCTGATGAAAGTAAATTTTGCATTTCCTTTGGAAATCAAGGTCCCAGAGTCTGGAGGAAAAGAAGAGAGGCACTTCATCCACGTTGCTTGAAGTCCAGTGTAAAGTTTCCACAGTCAGTGATGGTTTGGGGTGCCATGTCATCTGCTGGTGTTGGTCCATTGTGTTTTCTGAGGTCCAGGGTCAACGCAGCCACATACCAGGAAGTTTTAGAGCACTTCATGCTTCCTGCAGCTGACCAACTTTTTGGAGATGCAGATTTCATTTTCCAACAGGACTTGGCACCTGCACACAGTGCCAAAGCTACCAGTACCTGGTTGAAGGACCATGGTATCCCTGTTCTTAATTGGCCAGCAAACTCTCCTGACCTTAACCCCATAGAAAATCTATGGGGTATTGTGAAGAAGAAGATGCAATACACCAGACCCAACAATTCAGAAGAGCTAAAAGCCACTATTAGAGCAACCTGGGCTATCATAACACCTGAGCAGTGCCACAGACTGATCGACTCCATGCCACGCCGCATTGCTGCAGTAATACAGGCCAAAGGAGGCCCAACTAAATACTGAGTGCTGTACATGCTCATACTTTTCATGTTCATACTTTTCAGTTGGCCAACATTTCTATAAATCCTTTGTTTTTATTGGTCTTCAGTAATATTCTAATTTTCTGATATGATGAATTTGAGATTTTCATTTGTTGTCATTTGTAATCATCAAAATTAAACAAAATAAACATCTGAAATATATGAGTTTGTATGTAATGTATGAATATAATATACAAGTTTCACTTTTTAAATGGAATTACTGAAATCAATCAACTTTTTCATGATATTCTAATTTTATGACCAGCACCTGTATTTTATATACTTCAACTGCTCTGAGGAGTGTTTTGATCTTATTTTCTTTTTCGCATTAAATATTTTTCACAAAAAATATTTTTTTGATAAACAAAGATCTTCTAAAACAACCGGACAGATCCTGTGATTGGTGGCTAGGACTGATTGCTCAAAATAGAAACATTTTACAATTCAATTAATCCATCCGACAATTAAAAAAAACTCACAATTTCTTTGCATTTATGGGGGGGGGGCACATTTGTGTTATTTTATGCATTCTAAAATATGTCATCACAGATGAACTCTAAATTGTGGCCGGAAAAGCCTGATCTGATCCAATACGACAAAGGTGCAAAATAATCAGTCTAGGGCTGCAAAAAATGATTATTTTGATCATCGATTAATAATAATCGGATAGCGAAAAGTTCCTTAAAGAAGAATTTATACAGATTTAAACCAGGTGAAACTGAAGCTTTTCCACTCGTGGAGTTCTGGATAGAGCATATTAACGGGAGAATGTTTTCCTTTATCTTAAATGCTAAATATTTCTATATTTTTTTCACTATCTTGGTATATTTACTGGTATAAGTGGAACAGTCTCAGCTAAAGGCATATTTTAGAGTCTCTACACTCCAGTTAACGATTTATCGATTACTGAATCAGTTGTGGAAGAATATTACTCACCGCTCTGGTAATACTTGGAGTCGTGGGTCCAGCGGAAACCAGTGCAGAGGCCAAAGTCCGTCAGCTTTATGTGTCCGTCTCTGTCTATCAGGATGTTGTCAGGCTTGATGTCTCTGTGGATGAAGCCCATCTTGTGCACGCTTTCCAAAGCGCAGGTGAGCTCTGCGATGTAGAACTGAGCCAGCTCTTCCTGGAAGATGCCGAGCCTAATGAGGAGGCTCATCATGTCACCGCCTGGAATGTACTCCATGACGAAGTACAAGTTGTCCTTATCCTGGAAGGAGTAGTAAAGACGCACCACCCACTCGTTGTCAGCCTCGGCCAGGATGTCCCTCTCAGCCTTTACGTGAGCCACTTGGTTCCTCAGCAACACGTCCTTCTTGCGAAGCGTCTTCATAGCGTACAGCGCCCCTGTGTCCTCTTTCCTCGCCAGGGAAACCTCCCCAAAAGCTCCGATGCCGAGCGTCTTGATCCGTTTGAACATAGACTTGTCCATTTTGGCACGCTTAAGACGGATGTAGTTGGATTCCTTCTGACAGAGCATCATTCGCATCTGCTCCTGAGCTTCTGAGGTCAAACCCACCTGAGAAAAGAAAGTTAAAATTAGATCAGACAAATTAAAATGAAAAATACCTTTGAAGGTGTTATTTTGTTAGATTCAAACAGAATCAAAGCGATAAAATGTACAACAGATGCATTGATTAGACAACTGTCCCCTGATCAGTGGATCAGATATCTACAAATACCATTTATTTTTACCCGGTTATCCAAACCAATAACCAAATAACTTTTGTTTTAAATATGTCCAAAAACATCATGCACATTCCTTTGAGTTTAGTATTACTCAAGATAAAGTTCAAAACTATTAGTCTGGAAAAATAAATGAAAGAGGTGGTCTTCAAGAGAAAAGTTACTTTACTGGGAAATATCTTTACATCTTTTTTATTTCCCTCTTAAGACTAGAGAGCTGCAGTTCTGTATTTTGGCCAAAGGTGGCAGTATCATCAGAAAATTCTGTAATGCCTCAAAAATCAATTTCCTGTTGCATTTCAAAGCTGCAACAATTTTTTTTCCATCTTTTTGTGATGTAGTGGCAATATTAATTAAAAATATCACTCAGCAGGCCAAACCTTAAAGAAAACAGATCATTATCAAACAGGAAAAGCCTGATATATGCATTTATCACCCATAAATGACTAAATAATAAAAACACTCCTGAAACTATTTAAATCTAATGATTGATTTATTTTTCATTTATTAGTTACTCATTCTGCCCCAAGACGAGAAAAAGCAAGCAGAGTCACAGCTGATGAAATGAAAGTTGAGGGATGTCATGCATTCTCTTCATACAGAGGACATAATGCTAGAGTGATGATTTAAACCTTGGTTAAACACTGAGGCGTGTGAATACAGGAGAGAATAAAATACTTTTACCTTTCAGGTCAGCTGTTAAAGACAGCGAGGAGAGAAAAGGAAAGAAAGAACAGCTAAGAAAAATACAAAAGAGCATAAAAAGGTTGAACATATCAAAGCATGGAAGGCAAAAAATATGTCTGAAGATCTCTCAAAGTAAGAAAACAAATTATTTACAGCTGGTGTTTTTTTTTTTTTTTCTTACCCTCTGCATCTCACTTTCTAGCTGCTTCCTCCTCCGGATCCTCATCTGATGATTCTTCAGGATGTTCTCCACATGCTGCTCCATGAAGAATTTGAAGGCCTGAGGAGAGTACAGATTAATTCTTCCCGACTCCCCTCTGGGCTCCTCGTCCTTCTTGTTGCGACGCACTGGGACGGGGGACGTAGTGATCTGCTTCCTCTCCTTCTCAGTTGCTGCAGAGCTGTCGGCGCTTTCCACCGCCTTGTCCCCATTGCTGATCTCCTCCGCAGCCTCCTCTCTGCCTGTGCCATGCTTTGTGGCTGCAGAGTCATATGCCGGTGGGGAGGACGTGGGGAGAAGGTGCTTAGGATACGGTGGAGGTGGGCCTTGATAGCTGGGCACTTCAATCTGAGGTACAGCAGGTGAGGGATCGGGGTAGGCGGGTGCAGGCGGGGATGGGGTAACCTGCTGTATCCATGGTGGGTGTGTAGGAGCGACAGCAGTGTGTAGTTCAGGTTTCTGGACACGCATGCTTTTCACTGGCTGCAGGATGGGAGCCTGCGTGATAGCAGTGACAGTGGTGGCAGAAGGCTGGGAGCCGGATGAATGAGCAGGGCTACCGTTGATCTGGTGCTTGTTGAAAGATTTGGAGCGACCCGGCATGTTGTGTTGCCACGACGGGGACAGGTCCTGGTTGCTACTGTTACCGGTTGCAGACTGTGGCTGATTGGAGGACAGAGGGGCCTGGGACCACAGCTGTGGAGGACCCAGGTTGTACATATCAAGGTTGTGACTGTTTCGGTCTGAAACCAACATTGACGAAGGGATGTTTCCACCATTTAGATAAGAGGGAGAGGATGTGGGTCCCGCAGCCTGCTCCTGCTCCGTTGGGCTATGCCGGCTGTTTACAGGGTAAGGGGGAGGCAGTTGTCTGCTGCCGCCTTGTATGTACTCTGGCTGAGTGGGACCATTTTGAGTCCAAGTGGAAGGGAAGGTGAACTTGTTTCCACCAGAGCTTTGCATGATGATGGGCTGGTGGCCTGAAGCGCTGATCCCACGCTGGTTCTGGGGGGACGGATTCTGATAACCATCAGGCCAGCCGGGCTGCGGAACTGGAGAAATCCGCTGAGCAACGTACTCCATGTTCCCAGAGTAGCGCTTGGATGGATTGTTTTCCCGAGAGGATGTTGGCGGCATGCCGCCACGGTTTGGTGGAGGTGTGACACTGCGCATCTGAGGATGCAGTGGAGGGTTTACTCTCTGGCTGTTGGCAGAGGGGCCCTGTGGGTAAACGGGAGGTGGTCCAGGGCTGTCCGAACGGTACATTATTCCTTCTACCTTGAGAGGACCCAATCGAGGAGCCAGAGACTCCTTCGATCCCTTCCAACTTAGCTTCCTCAGCACAGCCTGCTGCTTGTGAGAAGGTCCTGCACAAAAACATGCAGAGTAATGATACCATTAAAATGATATAAGAAACTCATTAAAAAAACAACTTAATCTTCTTAAATGGGAACTAAAGCTGTTATAAGTAATAACCTCTTTCACGATAGAAAAATTAGCTTTAAGGAATTAGCTTTTGAAAGTAGCCATCATGGAAATACATAAAAAAAAAAAAAATAAATCCCTTTATTGTCCCAGAATGGGGAAATTCTGGAAACATGTTATTTATTTTGATTGTTCAAAGCTGCTCTTTTTCAGTGGAATAACTATTCAACTTCAGTCGGTTATAAAACAAAGAATCACATAATGGACTAAATGACTGGAGGCATCTGTAGCTTCATTTCCAATAGAAATATGCTCAAAACTATCTTGATATTCTTCTCATTGCAAAAGGATCTCAATAGGGGTATTTCCATTAAATAAAAATACAATCAAATTTGAAAATCAAGCATGGCTGTAGTGGGTGCCATCATCCTCCAAGTACCTCCACTCCTCTTTATCTTTTAACAAGTAAGGTCCAGCTACAGATCACGGGACAGGATCAATCATGTGATGCAAACAAGTGTTTTCATTGCAGCTTTGAGAAATAAGAATTACGATACAACCGCCTCATCACAGCATAAAAAGCTTTCATCAAAAAACATCTTTTTTGTTTAATTGCACTTTTTTTTTTTTACTCAAATTTGTGCAAACTGATGGCGAATGGAAACAGAATTTGTGTTGGACTTAAGAACCTCAAAACACAGAATCGCTAGCCAAGCCTGAAGGTGGTAGGATCATTCCTGACCATCACACTTAGGGTCAACACATGCGAGTGCTATTACTTCATTCTATAACAGGTGAGAATAAGTAAAGTGATCTACTTCCAAGTTTGTCAACTACGACACAGCTGGGTATTTAAACGACCAACTCCTGAAATAGTTCTGACCTGAACCCACTGAAGGATTTTGAACTGTGCTACCAGGAAACCAATCAATTTCTATCAACTCTCCCATTGCTAGCAAACAAGAGGGTTCAAACGTCCACGAGGAATCATCGCAGAAGCTTGGTGATGTTTACAAAAACAATATCTTTTGGCTGAATTGACCGATTTAAGTCTCAATGAATCACTAAGAAGCTGTGGGGGAAAAAGAGAATCTGTAATAAATAAGCAAAAAACTGAACTCATTAAAAGTCCAACATTTGTTTTATAGGAGGAAATATCGACTGGAGCTGTATATGTGTGGAAAATCCATAATGTTTACACAACAGTTTAAATCAAAACATGTTTGCCTTACATCCAGATGTTAGCGTTACACTTTTTATATTTAAGTAACAAAAGTTCATTTGTTAAGAGACTTTCAATAACAAAAATTAAGGAAATAAATGTAACGCAAACTATATACTGAAATGATGGGCTGTAATAGCCAACAATAGGAAAAAAAATAACAATAAAGAAAAGCTGCTTCTCAAAGGATTCATCAATGATTTAAAACCAAAGATGTTTTGTCAAATTCTTGCATTAGTCATACTCTTTGGAAGCATGTGCTGCAGTTGTCCTAAATCCAACGTATTGTCACCAAATGTAAACGATATGGAGCCTAGATGAAAAGGTAGAAGGAAGAAATGAAAACCAGCCCTGATCCCAGTGGATACGATCTAATACCTGGTGCTTTTAGGCCTGTAGAGTTGTTAGCCGCAGCCTTCTGCTCCCTGGAGTCCTGGTAATTCATCTTGACCATTTGGTCTGAGGCAACGTGGCGGCTGCTGCTGCTGGGCTAGAAAGGCAGAAATAAAGCTTAGTTTAGATACCAAATTCCCATTTGCTTTAGCCGCATACAGCTAAAAAGAGATTTGAATCTGTGGTTGTAGCTTTTTTAACTTTTATTTTTTGTTTGATCAAAAAAGGCTTAATTATGGAAATGTGAAACTGATTTTAGTAATTGAATCAATAACTTAAACTTTGACACATTTTTATTTATTTTTTTAAACACATTACTAATGCACACTATCTCTCTTCATACTTGGATATCGAACATGCATGCAAACAAAAGTTGACTGACAGATGTAAAACTTGTTTTGTACTGATAACTGTACAAACTTGTCACTTCACATTGCATACCTGACATTTTCCAAATAATTCCCCTCCAAACAAAGTGTACTAAGTTGTTCTTCTCAATTACATAAGAATTAAAAGAATGATGATGAAGAAAGATTGATCAAAATTCTTCATCAAAAGTGCCATTTGTGAGAAAGTGGGGGCAAAAACCCCCCACAAAAAACCAAAACAAAAATTAAGGCCAATCTTACCTCCTCAAACCCAGCACTTGGTTCCAGCGATATTTGCTTAAAATCAGAGCCTGAAGTGGTAGAATCACTACTAGATGAAACATTCACTTCAAAAGGCGCCAGGGTCTTCCGAATCTCCTGTAATGCCTTATGGTAGGAGTGTTTTGGGTTGCTGGTGCGCCCCTGATGCCTGGGGTCCTCTGGGAGCATATTTGCTTGTCCTACGGGCTCCGCTTTAGGAGGGTCGGAGGGTTTGGACAAATTCCGCAGGCTGTTCCGGATTTCCTGCAGCATCTGCTGGCTGTTACCGCTGTAGTTGCTGGTGGGGAAAGTTTTGGGTCTCATCTGCCTGTGTCCTTCGGGTTTCTCTCCTCTCCTCATGTACAAGCATTTATATGGACGTTAAAAAAAGGATGAAGATGTCACCTGTCCAGAACCGAGCTGATGATCAGTGCCTCTGATGTCTGGCTTCACATCTGCATGCTGCTCCTTAAACAACCAAAAAAACATTCAATATAAAATGCATGCGAGATAAAGAGGAATGGGAGTAATGCTACCAGACAGGTTGGGCAAAAATGAGATTGAGCAGCAGGAATCAACACAGATAAACATTTACCAGGAGATAACTATTATGTCAGAAGGGCATGCGAGACCAGTTGTATGACTTCTTCATTGTTAGGTGCATTTTAAGAAATATTAGCTACAGACTTCATTAAAAACACCGAATTGAAAAAAAAAAGTCTACTATAACAGCCAAGACCAATTCCAATTGATTAGCTTTGTTAGCATTCCACGCTAACATAGCAATACTGTTACGTTAATTCTCCGTCGACGGGGAACAATAATGCTAAAAACGTTTAACAAAAATATATTAATAGCTCGCGTAGGTTAATTAACAACAATTGGTGACTAAAATAAAGTAAATCTCTGAGGAAATCAAAGAGAACGGCCTGACTGGTGAGGCGTCCATTAGCTGGTATTCAACAACAGGTTAGGAATTAGCCTGCTAGCTCGGAACTGGGAACAGTTAGCTCCTGTCGGTTAACTTACCGCAGTCTGTAGCTTCTGCTTTTTCCAGAACCTCCCCTGTTTCAATAACCAGCAAATGTTACGGCAGCTCCTCTGTTTGGAAGCCGTGTTTCTAACTCAAAAGGTGCTTGTTGTGTCGCGCTAGCAGGTTCCTTGTGTTAAATTCCTGGGATATCTGAATGGCAAGTAGGACCTGTGAACACTGCTACAGACTTTCAAAATAAAAGTGTTCAAATAGCGTTAGGATAGATAAAACCTAAATAAAACTGATTCGTTTAAAATTAAAAAAATATTAATATGAGGTGAACAAAAACCAACACAAAATAAAAAAAAATAATCAACTAATAGCGCATAAATAAATACAACAAAAAAGTAGAACAAATTGAGATAAAACAAACCGAAAATAGAAATATTAAACCTAATTGGATTAAACTGTGAATTTAATTAAAATGAGTGAACTGAAACACAAAATAAAGCAAACCTCTCCCTCTGATAAAAATGGCTGAAATCATATATTAACAAATTAGTTAACATCTAAATATATATATATATATATATATATATATATATATATATATATATATATATATATATAAATGAAAATAAACTTAGACTAAAAAAAATCTGTACATTTGAAGTGTGGAAATTAATAATTACTAATTGATTTATTCAACATGGCAAAATATGTAAGCCAGAGAGGGAAAAAAAATGGAAAGGGAAACATTACATAACAGTATATTCATAGTGCATATATCCATCCATCCATCCATTTTCTATACACGCTTAATCTCAAGTGGGGTCGCTAGGGGTGCTGGTGCCTATCTCCAGCTGTCTATGGGCGAGAGGTGGGGTTCATCCTGGACAGGTTGCCAGTCCATCGCAGGGCAACACAGAGACAAACAACCATTCACGCACACTCACACCTAAGGACAATTTAGAGAAGTCCATTATCCTAACAGCCATGTTTTTGGACTGTGGGAGGAAGCCAGAGTACCTGGAGAGAACCCACGCATGCTCAGGGAGAACATGCAAACTCCATGCAGAAGAGACCCTTGGCCGGTAATCGAACCTTCTTGCTGCAAGGCAGCAGTGCTACCCACTGCGCAGCCCCATAGTGCATATAGTCTGTTGTAATGATCAATTAACATTTTTAATGCCTAACTGGGAAGACAAACTGTGCCAAAAGGACCACAAAAAGGTGAAACTTATCTGGATTCTGCCTGATACTGTAATCTTTTCTTTATCCTTCTTTCACCATCATATCCCTGCATTTCATGACAACTAATTGCAACAATATACATGGAGATGTGTCACCTTTACTAACATAAGGTAAACTGCTCGCAATAATGTGATCTCAAAATTATGTGAAAATAATCTCAGAAGTTACGATGAAAAAGCAGTCAATAATTTGAAAATGTTTAGTTTTATTCATTTCTTTTTAAGAAATCTGTACAAAATGTATTTGTAAACTGAAACATATTGTGTGAAACCGTCTACAAGTCTTTAATTTCTAATAATATATCACTGCAAATCCGAGTCAGGCATGCATGACAGACAGATTCATTAAGAAAAAGATAATCGGCGTTCTTGAAAATTGTTGAAAATGCAATAACAGAGTGAAAAAGTCCATACCAGGCTCTGCTGTGCATGAAACGAGGAAAATCACATTTGCATTTGCAAACAGCGCTATTAAACTGGGACTTGTCTGTTGATAAAAATTGCTTCTCCATCAGTCCCACAGACCAAACACTGCCCAAGCACGTCCAAGCTGTTGACTGACAGCGTCTGGGTGGGCAGCATGTGAGTCGTCTCCAGGCGGGATTTACTGGAGTCTCCACGGAGCCAGGCGCTGACGATTGACTGATTACCTCCAGCCGGGGCCATCGCGCTACGTGAGGTCATGCTGCTGTTTCTACCTCCTAGTGGCAAAAAAAAAAAAAAAAAAAAACACAGCTAAGTGACAGCATGTTTTAGCTATTTGGTGATAAAACCTGGCAACTAAGATATTTGGGTAAACCCAGAGAATGCAGGTACAAATTCAGTTCATTTACTTTTTCTTAATTGATCCAATAAGGAATATAAATATCATTTTCAGCAGATAAAATTTGTTGAAGAAAACTTGAAGACTGAGGAGTCAATCCTTATTTCTATATATTGTACAAACTCAAAGGATAGACACAACAAAATTGTATTACAAATACAACCCATTAAGTTAATCCATCATTCAAAAAAATAATAATATAGATTTGTTTTTTCTGAATCATCTCGTTTTTTGTTTTGTTTTGTTCTTTAACAAAGCAAAGTTACAACACGTTTCCCATCACGATTTTTACAAAGTTCAAAACTTTAAATTGAAAATTGACAAGGAATTCACTTCGTACAGTTGTCAGGGCTTAAAAAAGGGATCCTTCAAAACTACAGGCTGTTAGGATGGATGTTTGATAGATCAAATGAGACGGCAATAAGAAACGGAAAGAAGTACAGACATGCTAAGAATTCCCCTCATACTTCTCCAGACCGCAGACACCTACGAATAGATCAAAATTTAAGTTTTTTTTTTAATGTTTAAAAATTAGTGTAAACCATCTGACATAGGGTATTTAATGAGAGCCTTCCTATTCAAAATATGGAAGACAACGATGTATATTAGGCTATAATTAATCTCAATGCAGCAGCTGTGCAACTAAATCGGTTTCAAGCTGACAAACGCTATATTTTAAGTCAGGTTTGTGTCGCTGTGATCACTAACGGTCACTAATTTTGTGAAATCGGATTCTTTAGCGTGGTCGTTCATATTTCCAAATATATAAGACCGGTCGGTACTCTGTCGAGTATTAATGTTGTAAAGGTTGAATGTTTGCAACCTGGCCATTCAGACACAAGTCGCATTTGAGAAGATCAAATACGCATCGTATTGAGGACCACATAGCCAAGTGGCCTGAATTGCAATGGAAAATAAAAAATATATCTGTGTTGTTCAGATCATCATGAAAAGATCAGATACAGGTCGCATATGGGAAAAAAAAATAAACATCAGATTTTGGTCACTTCTAGCTGCTGTGTGAACGCAGCCAAAGTCTCTGTCTGACTACAGCGCCGTTGCCATAGTTATTTGGACATACGGTCGGTGCCCGCTATTTTGCATGATTTAGCTTGGACGACTTGGACTGGGTGTTCAGCTGCACTGAATTCTTCACAAATAGGGATATATGAAGGAAATGAGCAGTAATGTGTGAACAGTTTTACACACCTGAAGTCTACTGATGCTCCTCACTTTCTTAGATTTATCTCTACTGCCAACTTTTACTGTAAAAGCTTTACAAGTGTGAGTGAGGCCCAGAGAAAAATACCTTAATTCTCCAGACGGTGTGGAAATGCAGAATGTATCCTAATCCATTAATTTGAGCAGGTAAAACAATTTGCCAATGGAAAAAGATGATTTACTTTTGAATTTTAAATGTACAATATCTTATTGTCTTAGTTTAAGGGCAAACATGCTAATTTAATTGGCTTATTCATTATTAAATGGCTTATTCATCTTATTAACCTGCTCAAATGAAAGGTAAATAAACTTATTTTAAGAATTTTTTGCTTAAATATTTTCATCAGTTTTTGCTGTGTACTGGTTTAAAAGTCGGGCAGCACAATTCTATGAAATGTTTTAAAGTTTTTTAAGAAATTTTGAAAGTTTGTAATCTGGTTGAAAAATGTGACGACTGTTTAAACTGCTTAAAAGAAATGCCACTAATCCTATATATGATTTAAACCAATCTCCAATTAGACTCACCTTGTAAGAAGGAGGGCATTTCCGATGGGGAGGAGGTCTCCCAGTGCAGCAGAGAGCCGTCCTCTGAACACGTAAACAGATGATCTGGGTTTGTAGGATGGAAGTGAACCTCCCACACTGCCCATGAAAAACAGGTTCCAATTATCTATATGTACCAAGAGTTTGAAATTTGGAAAAGAGCTAAATTATTTTGGAATAAATCATACTTTCAGCTGAGTGCGCCTCCATGAGAGAGAAGGGCATGTTGCCTTGCCTCACATCCCAGACGCAGAGCATTCCATCCTGGCCTCCTGTGGCCACGATGTGCTGTTGGTTGGGATGTCTGGCAACACAGTATAAAGGTACTCTATCTCCTGACCTGGTAAAGGAGGAAAACAAACATGGATGAAGCAAATACAATCAACAGAAAGATACCGACTAAACGGAGAGAAGTTCTAATTACCATGTAAAGTTTCTTACAATGATAGAATCTGTGATGGTGAGCTGCTCTGCTGCCTCAAATCCCACAATTTGAGCTGGCCGATGGAGTTCACGGTCAAAACCTCTGTTGTCCTCAGGTAAGTCACAGCATGAAGCGTGCTGCTGTCTGCATTCTCTAACAAAAGGTTAAGCAGCATGATGATTAGCTGCTTCCTCTTCACTCCACATTTAGTCTGAAAATGGAAAACTCATCTGGATGGAGGAGTTTAATGTTTATCTCACCTATGACTCGCACCACTCCTTCCTGGTCGACTCTGAAGACAATTATCCTGCCGTCCTCCCCCACTGTTACAACTTCAGGAGTGCTGCAGGCGACTCCTGTGCTGGGGGCATTATTACAGGGGAAACGGTGTGCTTTCGCCCATTGCTGGGTTACTGAGAGTGTCTGCAGTTAAAAAGGGGGAGGAAATATGGAAAATAATAAGAGAAATGTTTATGTTCAGCATGTTCATAGAAGCAAAACATATGTGTCTGAAGATGGTCCAGCCATTGGAGATTTTCCTGATTATTCCTAATAAAACCGTATTTTAGTGCTCAAATAACCATCTGATAAAAGGGATAAATTTGTCCTAAATTAGATGTATATCTTTTATTCTGTGAAAAAAGGGATTAAATCTGGGATAAGGTCTGATACATTGCCTGTGTTGTATTTGATTTCAACATTAGGCTCTTCAGTCATTGCTGCCTTATCGCTGAAAAATCTAAATAAAACTTATCTGTTAATCAGGTGTTCTTCCAACATGATTCAAATTCAGATTAAAGAATATTTCATTGATTTACGTGTGGGTCTGTTATAGTGTGAATCACTTAAAAGACATCCAACATTACGTTTAGTCAGGAAAACTGGAGTTAATCTGAGTGTACCTGACTGTTTTGATGGTGGCGGAAGATGGTGACGGCTCCTGTGGATGAGACTGTGACAAATCTTTCCTGGTCCAAAAACTGGAAGAAAAAAAAAGTTAGTGTTTTAGTAGATGTCTTACTTTGTAAAACATTGTTCTGAGCTAACAAATGATTTAATGATATGAAGTGAAAACACACCGATCACATTTTACCTGCCAACATGGGATTTTTGCTTTTCACTAAAGCTTGATTTGCCAGCGAGCTTTTTTTTTTAAACATATAAACCTGTTTGCATGAAGAGATTTTTTGTACCAATACTAGCTTCCACTTGAGAGCAGGAAGACACACCTAAGATATGCATATAGTAAATATATGCATATCATTTTCAATATATATCATTTTCAATTCTGTCTTAAAGATTGATTGACTTTATTGATCTCAAAGTGGAGAAATATACTCGTTACATCAGCTAAAATAGTAAAAGGAGAAGAAAAAGGTGCCAAAGGAAGAAAAATGTGAGTTATACAGGGTTAATGCACAGGGTGTTTACATGGCTATATATATATATATATATATATATATATATATATATATATATATATATATATATATATATATATATATATATATATATATAGTTAATGCTCTGGGTGTCAAATATAAAGAGACAGGTTGCTGCACAGTGTATCAAAACTGTAATTGCACAAGTTATTGCCGTTTTGGTCTCGCATTGTAGAGTTTGGTTGCAGCAGGGATGAATGACCTGCGGTAGCGCTCCTTTTTACAAACTGGGTGTAAAAGTCTTTCACTAAAGGAGCTGCTCAGCTCCTCTACAGTCAGGTGCAGAGGGTGGAAGGTGTTGTCCATGATGGATATAAGCTTGAACAGCACAGATGTCTTAAAGTTTAAAAAACCAAAGATGATCATTAGCTGAAATAAGGATTTATTGAAAACCTGATTCTGTTGTTGGTCTTGTTAGCTTCTCTTTAACCTTTTTAAACTTTTAAACCCCTTTTACAACCTTGATTTTAAGAAAGGTGTGAGATGCAAACCTATCAGTATATACTTCATGGAATGTTTTTTTTTTCTCTTTACCTGAAGGTCAAGAACATCCCCATCGTGGTTATATTCACAGAGGAGCTGTGGGTCTCCTTCAAATCCATCTTCCAGATCAGATCTGCCTTGATCCCCAATCGACCAAACAGAAACCTTGTTTTCCTGCAAGAAAACAGAGACTAAAGTAAAAACAATATTCAAAGCAAGGCTACTGTAATATAATTACAACTTGAACAAAAAAAAAATCTCATTGTATTTTCCTTAAATATAAACACACAACTAGCAGTTAGACAAGAAATAGACATTTAGCAGAGAAAAAAAAGATTTTACAGGGTAAAAAAGCACGCCGAAAAATAAATTCCTAGTTAGAGAATATAATTTTTATACACTGTTATTTTTCCATTTTTTGTATTTCGTCTATAACAAAAAACGCATATAGCTAAAGTTGATTTTTTTTTTTCTCTCGTATGACTGCTAACCTCGTTGTCCCATGATCCGGTGGCAAATATATCAGGCTGCTGTAAAGCCGAATAAGAGACAGGTCGCCATCTCGTCTTGCTGATTTTTTGAGACACGTATGTAGCACTTTCCATTGAAAGTCACTCTTTATATCAATTAAAAAACAAGTCAAGTCTAAAGTTAGCTTAGCATTCTACGCACACAACCGCCACTTTATACGTCGCTACGGTGGCGCGTAAGGTTCAAGCAGAAAACTACCCGTTCTTCTTTTTTATTGTGGTTGGCAAGCGACGTATTATTGATGTTCATTACCGCCATCTACTGGAATAGAGTGTGAATCGGGATATTTTTTCCCCCCCGGTTACTGCAAATTATTGCTTTACGCCATCTAGTGGTCATACCATTACATTACTGCTGTAAATCGGACTGTGGAGGAGCAATGTGGCTTTAATGTCTCTCAGCCAACATTGCGTTTGATGCATATCCACATAAATTAATCATAAACTAAAATGACTCCCATTTCGATTCGCTTGTGTCTCTGAAAAGGCGCTAAAAGCCATTTTGATGTCCGGTGACGTATCCGCTACTCCACCGTCTCCTTTGGAGGTTGTCAGCTTTATCGGTAAAACCGTTGGCGCAGGCGCGGCACTTACAGCTGCTGTCTACTTACTCCGCAAAGTCTGCTTAATAATGGCGTGGAAATCCGGAGGAGCCAGCCATGCAGAGCTCGTTAACAATCTCCGCAGTAAGTCTGAGTGCATGTTGGAGCTTTAGCATCGTTACCTCCTTCTCGACTCGTCGCCGTAAATCGGTGCACTTTGGAGACTAGCGGGTTAGCATGGGGATCATGCTAGCTAAACTAGCTGGTTGCTAAGCTGTTTGTTGACCTAGCGTCTCCCCACCCCTTTTTTGCACTCCACATTCACGCGTGGAACAGATGCATATATATTAAACCAAAGATTAAAAAAAAACCAAAGTAACAAAAAAATAAAACTTTTACGTTTTCAAGTAATGTCAAACTGCAACTGTTTTTTGCAACGTTAGCTTAGCCTGTTAGCTGTATGTGCGTCATTTGGCATTGTGTTGCCCTGCCCACCCTCATGAGTCTGTATCTTTGGCTGCACATCTATGTGAATGACAGTAGCAGCTGAAAATATCAAACTAGATTCTGGTGCAGGAGTTAAGGAAATGTAGCTTGATTTGTCTTTAGCGGACAGTTGGTTAGCACTTAACATAGACAAAGTCTCATCAGTTTCTTACATCTTCAATGAAGGTGTTATTAGTTTTATATATATATATATATATATATATATATATATATATATATATATATATATATTTTAAATAAAGCTCTGCCTGGAGCACAAAAACGTGTCTTCATTGTAGCAATTTCACCATCAAATATACATAAAGAATTGACCTAATTAAAGCTGTTCTGCTCAAAAGGTAAGCATCATCAGCTAGAAATAGCTGTAGAAATTAAACCCTGAAATTGTGGGAAAATGTATATTCATCAGTTTAGAGTGAAAGTTGTGAAAAAATTCAAATGCTGACCCTTTCTTACTCAAACATACAACAATAGTTCTTGCTTTAGAATATTTAATTTTTATGGTTAGAACATATATTTTTCAAGTTAATCTTCATAGTTATTTCAAGAAATAAACATAAAGATAATTTTCCAATTCCTGGAAGAATTTATACATTATATTGGTTTAGAAAGGCACATGTAATATATATGTAATATATATATAAAATTAGATGATTTTATTCTTTGTGCATATATAATTGAACACTACAATAATGTCATTAAAAGTTCTATTTGACTTGTAATTAAATGTTGGATGAACAATTCAGTTTCCTTTTGTCATAACTTTAATGTCTATACTTTTGTTTGACAGGAAATAGTTACAATAATTAAGTGATCAAAGGGTGATAACTGTATTTATTTTGCAGTATGCAACAACAGATATGGGTCAGGCAGCACTTCATGTACTCTGCTCCATACAGCAGGGGAAACATCTTGTGGCGTTGGTCCCTTTCTGAAATTTCCCTGACCGTAAACACTGGGAGCATTTTTTGTGTCAAACATTTACATAGGTAATATCCCCTGTTGGACTTTGCTCAAAAATACTGTAATATACATCCCAAACCAAGTCTTCTGGTTCTTTTTATTCTTTACATTAAGTGGCTCAAAAACTTTTCTGATACAAAAGTAAGAGAACAAACTTTTCTAGTTGACAATTGTATTTTTTTAGGCTTGCTTTCATTATCTTTACCATTGTAAAATAGACGACGTTCAAAGAAAACATTCAAGCTCAAGTCCATTCGTTTTCACAGTACTTCTTGTCAGCTGCAATAAAAGTAAAATGCCCTAAGTGTGGCACCTTTATAGACCAATGTTGTACTAAGTCCATCCTAATTAATGTCATTTGAATCTGTCACAAACTGATAAAACCCTGACATGGTTTTTCTACATGCATATTGCAGATAGCATTAGGATATACTCAGACTTGGGTTTGCAAATCTACTTTCACTATTAAGTATGTAACCAGGTCTATTTATATTCCAGTCAGTCCAGTATATCATTGCAGGCTTCATGCTGTTTGCCAATAGCTGCAAGATTTGAAAGGAAGAGAAGCGATTAATGTGATCGTCTGTCTGTCTGAAATTTACAGTAGCTTGAATTTTGACTTTAAAGCAGCTTAACATAGCTGATTGGTGTCGATACTATAATCTAATGTTTAACAATAGGAAATGCAGAAAGAATCCCCTTAAAGCTTTAGAGAAAAAAACATTCTTTCATCTGTTAAAGATTTCTAGTGTTTCATTCAAATGAGGCTGTGTAACGTTTTTTTTTTCTCCTATATGTTTGCTTATTTCTGCATCCATCGTAGCTGCCACTGACCCATTTAGACACAAATGGGGGAAATTGAACCCAGAATTAGCATAAGGTGCTTTAAAACAGGTCACTCGTAGAGTGCATACTAATTTACGGCCGTTTCCCTTTTCTCTGTGTTCCCAGGTCAGTCCAAGCTGGAATGAATGTTTTCAAAGTGTTTTGTTCTATTAGGTCCATTTACTATAGCAAATTATGCATAACCTAAAAATTGTAAAATATTTTTTATTCATGTCTTTAGGTGTGCTTTTTATTTGAGATGAATAAATTGAGTAATGATTCACGGGCTGTTGGCTTTTACCCGCTTTTGGCACAAGATGCTGCAGGAACAAGTGATCCTTTTCAATTGTTCATTTTGAAAATGCACAATAAATCTCTTCAGTGATTCAATAATATCAAATCACAAATTCTAATCAGTAACCATGGCTTTTAAGTAAAAGAAAAATGCCTATGATGACAAACTGTGTTGAGGTTTATGCTCAGCTTTGTTAAAGGCAATGTATGCTACTATAAATGGAGTCCCATTTTTGTGAGGATTTTTTTTCTCTAAAGTGGATAATGTCTCTTTGTTTGACTACTGATTTTTATTTTCGCTGCAGGATTATGTAATGCTTCTTTGCCCATGCATCTACGGTCATATGCAGTGACACAACCTCTTTCTCGTCTTCAGAAAACGGCATTATTAAATCCGACAAGGTGTATGAAGTCATGCTGTCCACAGACCGAGCACATTACTCTAGGTGTAATCCATACATGGACTCGCCACAGTCAATAGGTACGTCCTCTGTCATCATTTATCTCCTACAGTCTTAAGATCTAAAGGACGAACTAAGTAACATATGCTTCTTTTTTAAAAAGGCTATCAAGCTACCATCAGCGCCCCACATATGGTATGAACTGTAAATGTTTCTACATCCTGGAACTTGGCGTCTTGTCAGCCAGTGTTGGATGCAATTCTCTCTTAAATTACGTTTTTCTTTTTTCTTTTTTTTTGGGGCAATCCTTCCAGCATGCCTATGCACTAGAGCTTCTACACGATCAGCTGTATGAGGGAGCCAAAGCTCTGGATGTCGGCTCAGGCAGCGGAATCCTCTCCGTTTGCTTTGCACGAATGGTGAGCCACACACATGCCGGGTAAACACATATGTTTTTTTTTTTTTTCCCCTGATGTAGCACACAAATCTATCCAGAACCTAAATGATATACGAACCAATAACTGTAGAAAATCAGAAGAAATCGTTCAATAGTTTGGGGTTTCTGTTGGAACTGAATGCCACCTTGTTTTGTCTTCTCCAGGTAGGCCCAAAAGGGAAAGTTATAGGAATTGATCATATCAAAGAGCTGGTAGATGATTCTGTAAACAATGTGAAGAAAGATGACCCCAGCTTGATAACTTCAGGCCGAGTCAAGCTAATAGGTAAGATGTTCTTGATTAAACATTGACACTGAATGACTATAAGCTGCTTCAACTGCTTCTGCATCTTTAAAAACAAGTGCTTTCTTTACTTATTGAGAAGGAATTTGCTCAATAGGCCGTCTGCATCACTAAATGATTAAGCAGGTGAGTATTTTTACCACCTCTACTGGAAGTTGAAAGTGCAGCTTCAACCTACCCGTTAGAATTTGGTGGTTAGACATCTTTTTTTCGATTGTTTGTTCAAATTCCAGCAGAAATGGTTTATACCTGATATTAGGGATGGAACGGTTTATGAAAACTGTCCGAACCGTTCGGTTTGATTCACGTGTGTTGTGTTCGGTTCATGCGCTGCGCCTTTCTCTCATAGGCGAAGCGTTTACACTCCAGAGCAGAAGGTGGCGGTACTGCGACCAAAGCCAACCACCAGTAGTAAACAAGAAGAAGAAGAAGCGAAGCAGGGTAGCCGGGTGTAGCAGAAAAAAATCAGTTGTTGTGGAGAACTGTGTGTGTATGGCGAGTGGGAAAGAACAGGAGTTGGAAGACGCGCCAGCAGCACTTTATAGGTCTGATGTATGGGACCACTTTGCATTTAGAGTGACCTACCATGACGGCGGAAAGAAAGTTGTGGATAAAAGTGCAACAGTGTGCAAGCATTTTTTTTATTTTATTTTATTTTATTTTTTTATTTCCTGTAAGGAATGATTTCTTTTTTTTTTATACAACTTTGTTTCTGCAAAGAACAATACAGAGCAACCATATTGCACTATAGGTATTCACAATAACCATTATTTACAGACATTTTCAACAAGTGTAAATTCACATTTTTACCAGTCAAACAAATGACCTCATTTTGTGCAAAACAAGAAACAAGAAGGAAGAAAGACAAGAAAAAAAAAAATTAAGATTGTACATCTATTAAACAAAAGTTAACGCTAGTTGGAAACGGCGCTCTAAATAATATTAAAAAGGACAAAGGCTTCTCGAGTTATGATTGCTTTCTTATTTTCTGATAATTGTATGGTGTCAATATATTGTTTAAGTTCGTGCTTAAAAGCTATAATGCATAGTTTGGAGCCTCTATAATTACATTTATGTATAAAGAACGTGGCCATAATAATAAAAAAGTCAATGTGTGCAAGCATTGTGCAACACGTTTTGTTTATGCTAACAGCAACACGACCAACATGTCAGGCTAATAATCAACATATACCGAACCGAACCAAAAACCGTGACCACGAAACCGTGAACTGAACCGAACCGTGGATTTTGTGAACCGTTACACCCCTACCTGATATAGAAATATACTTTAATAATAATAAGACCAATTAAAATATATAAAAGATATAATATATACCTTAAATATGGTAAGAAAAAAACTTTATTTCCTCATTAAAGCTCTATGCAAACAATGTTTCTGTACCTACAGGCTACAACAAGAAGACTTCTTGACAGGATAGTTGTAGCGGAATCAAAGAGTGCATTTTTTTTTTAATTGTTTTGTGAATAAATTCACTTTTAAAATATGATTACTTCAGGAGTTCAGCTTGCACATTTCTGCCAATTTATACAATGCTTTTTCTTTTAATGTTTTGATTACTAGCTGATAATGAACCATATTTTTTGCTAATGACAAATACATTTTCATTGGGTAAATCTGTTATTTGGGTCCATCAGTGTTGTGCAGAGTCTGGTAGCCTGTCAGTGATACCCTGCTGTGTGTCTTTCAGTGGGCGATGGGAGAATGGGGCACCCAGAGGAAGCACCGTATGACGCCATCCATGTTGGTGCAGCAGCTGCCAATGTCCCCCAAGCTGTGAGTCATTCTGAGGACTCTTTATTCTGCTTAACATCGGCCGTTCGTTTTATTCCAAACCAGTGAAACCCAGTTTAAAATATATTGATTTGTTTTGTTTTTATTCAAAAGCAGTCTTACTTTATTATAAATTAATAGATACTTATTATTAAAGAATAATTTTGTTTTGTTTTTTGGAGGTTAAATGCTAAGTTCATGTTATTTTCTGTTTGTCAGAATTTTTTACCTCATGGTAGGAAATATAAACTGAAACGCCCTTAAAGTCCAAAGCATACTGTATTTTGTATAACATGAAATTTCAAAATGCATGAGTACTTTTCCTCTCTTCTTTTAGAATAACCTCGGCGTTAACATGTTTTCCATGTACAGCTTTTGGACCAGTTGAAGCCGGGCGGCCGTCTGATTCTCCCAGTCGGTCCGGCTGGAGGGAACCAAATGCTGGAGCAATATGACAAGCTGGAGGATGGCAGCACCAAAATGAAGCCCTTGATGGGGGTGATTTATGTGCCTTTAACAGACAAAGACAAGCAGTGGTCCAGGTGGAAGTGACTTCCTTCTCCTCCTCCTCCCTCTCTCTCTTCTTCTCACAGTTGGCAAAGGTGAAATGGTTTGGCTTGGAGCAAGCAATGGAGCACAAGAGGCTGCATTTTGCTGCTTGTTGACATTTTTTGCTTCTTCCATACCATACCAACTAGCTGCACGTTTCCGTTTACATTTTTCTTTAACACCTAATTAAAAATGAAGTCATTAAAACCACCCTCTAATCCGGTTTGATCTTTTAGGAACCAAAATGTTATTTGAAGCTGTGCTTAACATGCTGGGTTTCAAAAAGCATGATGATTCAGTCGATTTTGGTGCCTACCACACATAAAAACACAAACATTCTGCTTAGTTTTCCCTGAGAGACGTGAACACAAACCGGCTACTGTTTGACTTTTAGCATGACATTTTGCATGCGGTTCTTCACTATTTGCATGACAGGTTGATGTCTTCTCTCACGTCTCTTTTCTAACATTTACTCTTTTTTTTTTTTTCTTTTTTTTCCAACAGGGATGAACTCTGAATAAAAGACGGAATACTCGGATGACACCTGACAGGCCCTGAATTTTGTTTCAAGCATTATAAAACATGCTAATTTTTGTTTGAGTCAAATGAGGGACTTTGAGAATAACACTGATGACAGCTGTGAAGGGCTGCAAGAAGAGACTGCTTGAAGCTTCATGCAGAAATATTCAAAAGGGTTTTTTTTTTCAGCTGGGTGATATTTTCTTCCATGTTTTGCCCCATTTAAAATGCAGTTAAACATTTTTTTTATTATTATTTTTACATGACATTTCAGCGGGGTCAAAGCTGGATGTACAAGCAGAACATGAAATAAAAATACCCAACACTTTTAGATAATTCACCTAGCTACAGCTTGTGTGTGTGAGTGTGTGTGTCATCTAACTGTAGGGTTTTCTGCAAGAATATAAGCTCCCCCCCCTTTGCCAGCAGTATTAAAATACTTAAACACATACAGCATCATGGCTAAAAGGTTGATGTGCAGAACATTTCTGCACAAATTAAACACACAACACACTGGATATACTTTAAAATAACAAGAAAAAACAGCTGGGCACCGATCTCACCAAAATGCATGAAGGTACAGGGCTGCGCTTTCCACCTGGTGATGTGTTGTTTGCTGCCGCTGGTTTCCCCTTTCCAACGTGTACAGGCTACATTGGGAGAGTCGCTGCTTTGCCAAAATAAACATCGATACAAAGCAAATGACTGTTTTTCTGATGACAAAATAACAGTTAAATAAGCACATTCGGTTTGGGTGGATCTGATCGACTGACCGGTATTTGGATTTCACAGTATCTGAAATGGCATATGAAAATAAAGAGTCGCTTCTATTTTGTTTGTTGTAGCTTTTTTCTGTCCTTGCAAACCGCTACTTTGCAGAGAAAATTGAGAAAATGTGACTTTATCACAAAAATGTTATTAAGTTTTTAGGTTTAAATTAGCAAAAATTCTAAGTTCATTTTGGGAGATCCCAAGTAAAACAAAAATTCAAGATCCTGAAAAAAATGGATGCTTCAACTAGTGTAATTTTGCCAGGATAACATTAAATCCTTTTGAGTTTTTGCAGAATCGTAAGTGTCTTAGTTTTGCAAAACCGAAATCTTTGTGAGATCTTGATTTTCTTGTGATGAATGTAAGTCTTGTGAGATACAGAAGCTCCTCAGCAAATCCAAAAATTCAAAGTTATTTTAGCTGTATGACTTCAGGATGCGCTCAGCCAATCATTACACAGCATCTGTTCCTTAATGAGACCTGCTCCCGAGAAGGTAACAAAAAGGTCTAAGTGGACTGGGACAGGTCATGGAAAAGGGACGTGAATTTAGATTTCATAAAATAAAGTTATTGTTTTTGTTCTTGGCACTTGTTAAGATTTTCCTTAGCTTTCAAGCAACATAAAAATTAACTTGTATAAAGATTGTGTTTGTTTTTTTTAAATTCCTTCATTCAATCCTCTGATTTTCGGCTAAACCAAACTTAAGGTATTACATGATTAACAAATGTACCTGGATTACAGATATAATTCAACCTTTTTGAAGATATAATTAATTTAATGCACCTGCACAATCCACAGTCCTAAATGAAAAGGTATTAATATTTTAGTGATCAGCTCTGAGCAAAATGTCAAGTAAATTTTGTATGTGATTATATGGTTTCATGCACCAGGGTTTAAGCACCTCAGAAGTTTTGGGATGTTCCAGTCTGAGGTCTTCTTGTAGGGAGGTTGGAAGATTCCCAGTATTTCCTCCTGCAGTCCAAACACGACATTTTCATTGATTGGGTTACTCTAAATTGACTCTGGCTTTCGCCCGGTGACTTAGACGAGGGATGGATATAAAATAATAAAAGAATACATTAAAACATTTTCCTCCTTTCAGCAGTAAGGATCAATAACCACACTATTATTATTCCCTTAAAACACTTTTATTTATTTTTTTCTATTAAACTGAACTAAGAGTCAATGATGGCTTATATCTTTACACTAAAGACAAAACATGCTTTAAAGACAGATGGATAAAGGAATTTACAGGACATAATTGAAACAGAATTTGCTAATTATAACCGTGGTTACCAGGCACTCCAGTATGCATCAGTCAAGCTAACTGGGGTAACAAATGTAGCACAAATATGTCACATTAGTGACACCCAGTGATTAAAAAAAAAAATTGCCATTTTGTGAAAAACTTGCAAAAAGAATTTGGGCAAAATTATGCCAGATTTGAAATACTCAGAATGAATCTATATGTAATTTGAAAGTAAAATCATAGGTTTGAAACTGAATTTAATGGCTTATACTTTAGACAATTTTTTAAACAGCTATTTTTGAATTAATGATTGATTTTGTACATTTTCTCTTTCTTTGCAATAATTCAATTTCAGTTTGAACATTCAGTCTTTTACTGTGTCAGACATTTAGGTCCTCTAAGAAAAAAAGTAATCCATTACAGATTTACATTTCTTATCGTCAGAGGCTTCACTCAATATATGGGGACAAATAAAATGGCATTACAACCGTGGCACATTATGCTTGTTTAGATAGTTTAGCTAAAAAGTAATCAAAATAAAAATGCTGCTTCTTATACATGGTCATTTGATATTGCTTTTACCAATTTAATGTAAAAACTCCACTGCTTCAGCTTGAAATGCGTTAAAACACCTTTAACCTGATCAGTGAATCTGTCTTTGATTGCTTAATGGCTTTAAGAGAAGAAATACATGCAAATTTATTTAATTCAGGTTCAAATTAGTAAAATTCATATTCAAACCAATGCATTTACTTTGAAATTACACAAATGCTGATTTATTATGAGCAATCTAAATATATTTTTTGCCCACGGAGGAATAGCCATACATGGGGGGTTTAACTGAGCATTTATACAATGACAAAATATAAATCTTCATTGGTTTATAATAAGTTTTTTTACACAACATGAATGCACTTATTGAAGCTTGAATACGTTTTAATGATTCCAAAGGGAGCAGCATTACAGTGTTAGTCAGACGGGTTCAGTGTGCGGGTGTTGCTTTCAGGGCAGCATAGCGTACAGATGTTCTGATTTGAGATGTAGGGCTGAAAGTAAGACAAGTTGCAAACTCTTACATCTCTGCCCAGCTTCTTCAGCTACAGATACATGCCGTTGATGAGGTAATCAGACTCCTCTGTGGTGAGGGGCCGTGCTTTCTTTAGCTTATGACGAACGAGTCTAAGGCGACAGCCGATCATGAGAAGCAGCAGAGTGGTGATGAGGATGCCAAGCACCAGCGGTAGAATTGCACCTGGAGGGAAAAAAAATTTTTTTTACCCAAAGAGCAGAATTCAAACTACAAAATATTAGCACAGAAAATATGGCTAACCGGACTCTGGGCCTAGGTGTCCTCCTTTAACTGGAAATGGTTTAGAGATCAAGTCACTATTTCCTTGGCTTTGTGAGATTGTAGCAGCAACTTAAGAAAAAAAAATATAAATATAAATACATACATATATAAGAAACTGCCGCTATTAAACTCTGTAATTCTGATATGTAAAGCAGGTCATATTTAATACATGGATTTACCTGTCTCAGTCTGCTTGGTGACAGAAGGAGTTGCATTTGTTGGCATGAAGGCTGAGCCTAAAAGACAATAACGTAAAAAAATGATTAAAGCTTTAGCTTTTTCTAATCAAAACACGATCCTAAAACATCCTCTTACTTTTCTGTAAGCATTCGCCGACACAGTCAGACTCCTGGAGGAAGTTGTTATAGTTACCCTGGCAACCCCCATACAGAAAGTGTTTGCATTCTCCCACCTTTTGGTCGAAGTACCAACGAGGGAAGGTGCCTTTGCAGGGCCCAACGACTGGAGCTGCAGCACATGGATCTGCCGGAACAGATACACTTATTATACAATTGAAATATCATTTTGCAAAAGTATTCACACCTTTTAAACTCTTATTTTATCGTAATATGACAAAAACAAAACAAAAAAAAGCTGGAAGATGTAGAAATCAGATTTAAATTACATTGTAATTTGTAAAGTATGTTTGAATTAAATATAAAATGTATTCACTCCTGAACTCGCAATAAGAAACCAGCTTTCACTTCAGTCCCAGCTGTTCTTTGGAATAACCCCCTGCCAATTTTGCACATCAAGGCTCTGAATCCCAATCCATAGCAGAGGTGCTTGCAGTAAGAAAGGAAGTAAAAAAAGGAAGCAGGATGCATCCTATCGATAGCTCATTTAGCATAAGAACTTCCTGACGTTCCTATCTGCCGTATAGGAGCAATACAGATTCCCACAATCCTTTGTATGACGGAACATTACAGTTCAAACAAAACTTTATTTCTTCATTTGTAATCTGGGCGACACGTTCTAATGTGCACACCTTATGTTGGGGGTTTTCAAATGGAGAGATTTAGCCATCAGCTACATTTAATTAACTTTTTGTAGTTCTTTTTTTAGAAGGCTGTAGTCCCAGTTTGACAGGTATCATGTATGTGTGTGTCCGTCGTGTGATAAAGTCTGTAAGGTTAATGCCTGTCGGGGTTTAGCACAGCAGTCTGCAGCTCCCCTTCCACCCTGGATAGAGTTCTTACTGTTTGCCCTGCAAAAGGTGAAGGGATAGAGGAGCTAGCAGGTAGGAGCTACAATATGTGTGATTTGAGAGGAGCCCGAGACTAAAATTTGTGCTGATCTTTGTTCTCCAAACAACTTGACCTCGAAGTGCTGATGCACATTTTACATGAACTTATGTCTGGACTTAAAGTAGGACTTGAAACCAGTACTTCTGTTAAATCTTTGACCCAGTCTCAAATCTGTTACGGCCCCTAAAAGTTCTTCTTCTGTTATCTATCATCCGATCAGGTGCCCAACCATTCTGTTAAAAATACCCCACAGAAAACTGCTTCCAATACAATGTTTGATGGTTATAATGATGTGTTCTGGGTCAGGTACTGTGTTGGTTTTCTGCTGCACATAGTGTATTTCTTATAATGGCTTCCTCTAAAGAGTCAATAAAAGCCAACATGTGTGCAGTGCACAAGACCCTTTGTCTGCTCCTCTGATTGCTGCTCTCTCTGTTCTGTCTGTCTGTTTCCATTTTAATGGTGGATTAAAAAGAAAGGTGTAAGAACATGGCCTCTATTCACTAATAAGTTGATTCTGAGGGGGGCTGGTGGTATGCTCAGTGGAAAAACGACCTACAAATAAATAAAAGGTTCTTAAATTAAGTATATTTACCCTTAATTTGAGTAGGTAAAAGAGATGATTTGCCAATGGAATGAGTATTTTTACTCTTAAAATTTGATATTTAGATAAAAGGCGCTTGAAATAAGACAATGCAATTGTGTTTTCCTATTTTAAGTTTAAATTGTCTTGTTCCATTGGCAAAATGTCTCTTTTACCTCCTTAATTCAAGAACAAATTCACTTATTTTAAGAAAAAATTACTTATTTAGATTTTTTCCAGTGGGGTAAAGAAAGTACACAACAAACTTGACAGATTTTTAGTTTTTTCGGCAAATAAAGTTTAGTGGCTCAATAAATGTTACCACATACTTAGCTATTATGACTTGTTACGTTGGAAACATACAGAGGTTGGCCTAGTGGGTTAGAGCAGTGCGCTTGTGCTCTGAGAAGGTTGCAAGTACCCGTTTTGATTCCCACAGCCTGCACTCTGGGTTCCTGAGCAAAACCTGTAACCTCACACTGCTCCCCGGGCACCACACAATGGCAGCCCACTGCTCCGCAAGGGTATAGGACAAATGCAGAGAGTGAAATCCACATTGTGGGACAATATAGGGATTTACATTACATTTGAATAATTTAAAGAAAAATAAAAACAGCTTTTGAATGGATATCAATTGTATATTGTATGTATAGTAATCCATATTTATCCTTGGATTTATGTTTACTCAGTTACTAATATATTATGACTGAGTTATTTTATTTTCCTCCAATATAAATTAGAGCTAACTGACAAAGAGCAGGAGAATGGCTGCTTTTATAGGGGATTAAGGTTTTGAACCAGGTAATGGTCAAACCGATTAGTAACATGAGAGCATTTGATCTTTTTTGTACACTTTTGTACACACACAGAAAAAAAAAACAAGTGACTAATATTGACATCTTTTAACAATCATTTTTGAAGTGTTATTCCCAGCAATCCGGAAGAACACATTTAGTGTATATGGTGTAGTGCTTAAAGGAATAGTACACCCAAAACATGATTAGCCTTCATTTTCTACTCACCCCCATGCTGAACAACACTCTGGAGTACTTTTTTGATATCTCAAATGCATCTGGAGATCTGGGAGGCTTCTTGCTGTCTGCTGACATTCAAATAATGGAGGTCTATGGCGCCCGAGACAGAAAGGTCCATAAAAGTCCACAAAAAACGTGTCAATATTCCTCCATACTGCTCGTCCAATGTATTCCAAGTGTCCTGAGTGGGTAGCATCCAGAATTTACTCGAAACGAAGTCATTTAGAATGTTTTTAGAGCATAAACAGTAGTGTATAGGATTTCCTGAAAGCGCGCACATGCGCGCTCACGACGCTACGGAAGCCGGCAGACCAAACCAGATGAAAGTGCGCATTCAGCATCTGCTCCGCCAATAATGCAAGCGTAGAAGAAGAAATGTGCTGTTTACCTGTGCAAAGAAAGAAACAACGAAAGAAAAATGTCTGAGGACTTCAGTGTTGAGGAAGAGCATGAGTTCTTTGCCGAGCTGAATGCGCTGGTTTGGTCTGCCGGCTTCCGTAGCGTCGTGAGCGCGCATGTGCGCGCTTTCAGGAAATCCTATACACTACTGTTTAGGCTCTAAAAACATTCTAAATGACTTCGTTTCGAGTAAATTCTGGATGCTACCCACTCAGGACACTTGGAATACATTGGACGAGCAGTATGGAGGAATATTGACATGTTTTTTGTGGACTTTTATGGACCTTTCTGCCTCGGGCACCATAGACCTCCATTATTTGAATGTCAGCAGACAGCAAGAAGCCTCCCAGATCTCCAGATGCATTTGAGATATCAAAAAAGTACTCCAGAGTGTTGTTCAGCATGGGGGTGAGTAGAAAATGAAGGCTAATCATGTTTTGGGTGTACTATTCCTTTAAAGTCTGTTTAACAGCGATGGGTAAAGGTGGCCTTTTGGCCAGTCTCAGTCTAATTCAGGGATCAGATGGCATCAGATACAGAGGAGCTTTGTTCCTGCACTCAGAGGGGATGCAAGCTAAGAGCTGCTTTTCCAGGGAATGCAGAGTGCTTCTTTGGCTCTGCCAGCATTTAATGCTCACTGCCATGACTCAGTGGCTGCCTGCAGGCTCCATCTGCTCTTATGTCCATACACATGCTGCTTTACAAAAAGGAAAGACACTAAGGACTCAGAAAAAATGTATTGTTTAGCAAACCGTTTACCCAGGATAAACTGAAGCAAGATAAACGCCTGAATACTCTTTATATAATCTACGTTTACATGTACAAAGTGTCACAACTGGATTTAAATGAATTGGCAAGTGAAAAACAAAAACTAATTATAAGTAATTTGAATAAAACATGTGATCACACTGAACATGCTGGTTGGAATATTATAGCATCCAGCTGCTGTGAAATGCGTCACACAGATGTAGAGTAAACATACAAATCAGCTAGTGTCATTCAGAATAACTTGATCCTTAAAACTGTTTACATGCATATTGATCGGATTCCCAACCACCCCTCTCAGTGCCAATTGCGACTATATATGAATCAAGCTCTACTACAAAGCATTTTGAGTTGGAACACCTTCCTACCATGATCAACAGAAGCCTGCTCACCCAGGCTCTGAGGATAAGCAATCTTGCTTCTGTCCACTGCTGATACAACTGTTCTTCTGGACCCATCTGGAATCATGGGGGTATCCTCTCCCTGCTCTGTCTGTGCAACAGGCCTCTGAGGGATGGGACGATCTGCAGGGTGGGTCACTGACTTCCGGCCACCATCAACTAAAAAACAAAGTACACTGATGAGCTTTCATCATTGAATTGTAGATGTATATATTTTTGTATTTTACATAGTAAGAATTGGTACAGTTTGTGCAGAAGTCCTCATCAGAGCGGTCCGGACAGTGCTGTCTCCCATCGCAGGCGTAGGAGATGTCAATGCAGCAGCCATCGTCACATTTGAACTGGTAGTTGGAGCAGTCACCGGTGCAGACTGGGAACACAGAATTGAATAACTACATAACCAACTTTAAAAAACCCAGAAGCAAAGGTGCGAACAGTTTTGGTGAAGCTCTCACCTTCTGCCTGGTGTTTTGGTGCCAGCACAGTGACAGAGACGTTGTCTGAGCTCTTCTGTCCCGCCGTGTCTGTAACTGTCACCTGGAATGTATAGACTCCCTCCTGGAGACCACTGACCTTCAGCAGGCCTGGATGGGTCACCTGCAGTGTGCATAAATAAAACATGGCAGCCACAACAGATCTGACATGAAATTCTATTTTTTTTAGATTAAATCAACCTGATTCTTTTAGTGACATCCTGCTATACTGTATGTGGGAGCTTCCACAGGTCATTCATCCATGCTGCAACCAGACTCTACAATGCGACACTACAAGGGCAACAAGTTGTGCAATGTATAATGTGCAATTAACCTGTGCAACAACTGTTTCTCTATTTGACAGCTAGTGCAATATCTATATATATATAAATCCATCTATATAAATACCATTGTAAACAACCTGTGCAATAACCCTGTATAATAACCCTACTATAAAAAAAAAAAAAGTTGTCATACATGTATCCAGTGTGTATACTGTATATATCCCACGCACCTTTTTCTTCCTTTGGCACCTTCTTATTTCCCTTTACTTTTTGAGCTGATGTAACGAGTAAATTTATCCACTGTGAGATCAATAAAGTCAATCAATCAATATCATATTGAAAAAATACTAATCTATTATCCGATTAAAGCTGAAATGTGTTTCTTCTACTGTTTTTCTACATAAATGTCCACTTTATCCACTTTAAATATGTGGTTATAGCATTTCCTCTCATCCTTACTATTAAATGTACAGAAACCTGAACTGTTCTAAAAGAGAAAATCTATTTATAAGAGCAGGAAATCATTCCTAAGGTTCTGGTTATTCAGGTTTTCTTTGAGCACTGGGATAGAAAACAAACCCTAATATCTGTTGATAAAGCGTACAAATATGGAGCAGTTCATTCAGGTCCACCTGTTTACAAACGGTGAAAATACACGCATATTATTCACCTTTGTTCATGACAACAATGAGCGACTATTCACAGTGGAAGTTCAAATATTTGCAGCATCTGACTGTGAGCACATATCAATGGAGCTGTGCACCAGCCTTTTTTAGTGCAGCTCTATGCTACAGCAATTTCTACTAAAACTTCACAGCCACCTGGATCATCAAAACAAAAAGTATACTTATTTGTAAAAGTTTGCTTTTTCAAAAAACAATTTACATGTAGAGTTGTTTTTGTAGCTTGGATAGTTAATGGAGGAATTTCACAATCTTCTGTACTTCCTTGTAGTTTTTGTGTTGAAATAAAGTTTAAAACAAACCTTCATATTTATGGCTGTATCGCCTTTAACGAGAGTCCACTCATAGTCGGTGATCCTGTGGTCGTCCACGCTATCCCTGCCGTCCAGGATGGCCCAGTCCGTGGGCAGCTGGATCACTACGTCCTGTCCAGCGTCGCAGCGAGGAGGCTCGTCCACCTCTGCAAATTTGATCAGTTGTTAAATCCTGTAACTTTCATTTACTGTTAATGTCCAGTTTGAGCTTATTTATTTTAACTCAGCATTGATTTTAGATCATTTTCTACCAACGAAGCATAGCATAACATGAATATTTTAAAATAAAAAAACTAAGCAGTTCATTTAATCGTGATACAGTGAAATAAAAACTTCTAAGTTATGAAAAAAAGATAATTTTCTGACTACATTTGCTAAAAAATCCACCCCAAAGAACAGTGAACATGTCTTATTTTTAGGAAGCTGAAAACTAAATGGATCCACTTTAAAACATAATCATGCAGCAACCATAGAGCTCAAATAAGACAAACAACTTGTTCTATATTTACTTTTATCACTGGTGTGACAGCTAAAACTACACAGCAGCTGCTCCTGCTCTCAACATCCTGATCACGTTTTACAAAACAATCATTAATCCAGCCGTGCTCCCTTATCAGGGAAACAAGCAAATCATGATATTTAGAAGTCTTCACTTTAATGCTACCATTTTTTCTCCCTAAACAACCTTTAATCCTTAAATACAAAAATGTTTTTAAGTGCAAACATTTGCTAAAATTTTATTTTCGGTAATGTTTTGTGAATTGCTTTTAATAGATGTTACAGAAAAAATATATTCCATATATTTTTATATGAAACAATGGCATCTATTTTTTAAATTAATTTTAAATTTAATTTCTATTAAAGTTTTATTTTTTCTCCTATTTCCTAAACATATCCTTATTTCTTTTTTAAACAGACCATCCATGATTCTTTAAACTTCACCACTAATTGACCAGACTGAAACTAGAGCTGAGTAAAACTTAAAGTTTATACATTTGCAAACATATTCAGAGTATTGGAGTATTAGATTAAATCTAATTTCAGGCCTCAACCTTAATATACTTGATTTGACAGATCAATGCAAAGAAACTAATGATTGTTTCTTTAGTATTCCACCACACCTAACATATGAGGCTAAAGCTGACTTCCCGATGTAGTTTCTGCTTTGAAAAGAGTGCTGAAAAGTATTTCTGTTTCATGTTTCTCTCTCTGCCATTTTTAACTTGGTCTAGTTTAAAAAAATAACAACAATACTGATCAAACCTGGATTCCAGCATCAGAATCTTCAGTTAAAGATTTGTTAAACCTTTGAGTTAATTTTACCTCACTCATAAGCTTCTCTATAAAAATAAGTTTAAAAAAAAATTACCATTCTAGTGGTCCTGCTAAAAAACTACTTTATTTAGTATCTTCAGGCCCGGACTAGATCATTCTACTATAAAAGCAGATTTTCTCAAACTCAATTCATTTTTAATTATATATTTTAAATAAAAAAATAGTTTTTCTTTTGCCACTGGAGATTAAAACGATCTAGATCAGAAACTAAAATACAGACTCATTAAACACGGGCTAGATTGCTCTGACAACAGAATACTTTTAAACATAGATGGATTTAGGGGGGCCAACAGGAGGCCAGTGCCCGTTATGGTCCCTGTACAAAAACAAAAGTTTTTTCTTCAATGAAGTGTATTTTATCTTGATTTAAGCCAGTGGGTAAGACAATTTGTCAATAGAATAAGATGATTTAAGTTTGAAATATATATATATATATATATATATATATATATATATATATATATATATATATATATATATATATATATATATATATATATATAACAACATTGTATCTAACTGTCTTCTTACAATGAAAAAATGTTAATTCCTTTGACAGATTTTTTAAATTCACCTGCTTGAATTAAGGGAAAAATAAACTTATTTTAAGAAAGTTTTAAGTAGTAGGTCTAGTTTTTGCAAAGTAATATAAAATCTAATTATCATGTTTATTATTATTGTTTTATTTCTTCTCTGATTTGAATTGACATACTTTCTCTATTTAATATTAAGATGTTGGCCGACTTATCATAATGGAAACCTCATGCAGATGTTTTAGTAAAGGAATAACATTACAGTTCAGTGTCATTTGTTTCTGTTTTGCTCCCACCTTGTGTTTCCTCCCCCTGAGCGTGCCCTGGCCTCCCGGTGCCCTCACTGTGAGAACCAGGCAGGCGTCCCTGCGATTGGTTGGCAGTCCGGCTGTAGGTGGTGAAGCCTTCCTGCGCTGCGAAGGAGCAGATGTTTTTATTCCTATAGGTACAGTTAAACATGTAACAGTTGAGGCTTTCTCCAGGCCGCCTCAGATCCTCCTGAACCACCGCCACCGTGCAGTGAGGCAGAGAGCAGCAGGCGTGCAGACAGTCCCTCCAGGTGAACACCGACTTCGGAGCCAACAGGAAGGCGGCTCCCTGCTCGATGGAGGCCTGCGTCCGGATGATGCGCTCCTCCGCGGCGCTGAAGTCGCCCACGCAGGAGTCGCTTACGTCGGCCGCTCTGTAAGCCTGGTCCTGCTGGAGCTGCTTTCGGAATTCCTCCAAAAGCTCTTCCACTCCGGATATTTTAGATTTCAGGTCTGATATTTGCGAGGACCGCGCGTGTAAGCGGCTGGTAAAGAGGAGGAGAAGGCAGGGAAGCAGGAGCCGGGGATGCTGAGGCAGAGCCATGTTGTTGTTCACTCAGTGAAACAGCGGCTCCCTCTGCCTCCTGAGGGACTCAATCAGCTGCAGGGGGTCTGCCAACATCAAACACACACCAGCTGGGGGGATTTAAACAAAAAAACAAAAACAAAACAAACGAAATAAGAAAAGACCTCTGCATCTACAGCAAAGCAGGTAAACGTCTGTCTCCCAACGATGCTAAAAAAAATCTGCCGTTGTCATGGTAAGGGAGGGACTATAAACCCTGACGTCACACTGATAATTGATAAACCAATATGGCGATCGCCTACGGAAGAGAATTAGGGCCACTGAAAAAACAAGAGAAAGTTAACTGATTTTTTAATTTTATTTCAATTTAATATGGGAAAAAAGTCAGAATTCTGACTTTAATCTCAGAATTCTGACTTTTTTTTTCAGAATTCTGACTTTAATCTCAGAATTCTGAGTTTTTTTTTTAAAGAATTCTGATTTTAATCTCAGAATTCTGACTTTTTTCTCAGAATTCTGACAGCTAACAAAAATGTTAGCATCAAGCCATAGCCATGTTAATTTTAGAGACTACCTCTCTTGTTTTAATGACCTTCTGCTCCTCCATTAATGAGGGGATCCCTCAGGCACGTAAAAGTTGCCTAATTCCGTCATTTTCCACCAATGTGTCACTGGCCCTCCCAAAAAACTCACATCTTTGTCAGTGAAGCTGACCATCTACTGATCTTCATGGTGCCCATCTACATTAAGATCCAAAATTCTGAGATTAAAGTCAGAATTCTGACTTTTTTCCCTTATAAAACTGAAATAAAATGTAAAAATCAGTTAACTTTTTTCCCCAGTGGCCCTAATCCTCTTCCGTAATCACCCCTAACTCCAATACACCAATTAAATTACAAGCCAAAGATATTATCTTACACTATACTAATAATGATAGGAAAATGCAACTCTTGGTTAACTTGGTTATTCTAATTGCAAAATTCCACATACACAAAACCAAATATTCCAAAGGTCGACCTTTCTTCCCTGTGTTTGAAAATGATAAAAAAAAAATTACTTCAATTATACCCAAAGAATAAGCAATAAAAAATGTATACACACTGTTAACGTAATTCGGGAAATATTTGGAGAAATGTAATATATCATGCCTCCCTTTTTTTTAAATTTATTTTTATTTATGTTGTTGTTGTTTAAATCTCTTCTGTTATTTATTTAAGCTATAGTATGTCATATCTTAATTCTAATTGTACTCCATCATCAAACACTTATTTTGGAGATGCCATCCTATATCTTGTGATATTTTTTGTCAATGTTTTGTAATGTGCAACTTTTCAATAAAGTTTTGGGGGAAAAAATGGCGATCACCAGTTAGAGCAACTACCTAGCAAATAAATGTTCATCTGATGGTTTACAAAATAAATATAACCTATGTATCACGTATAAAATGTCTTTATAAATGCATAGCAGATCTATCAATAGCCATAATTACATGCAATATTGCCGATAAGTGTAGTTAAAACTCCAGTTTGTTGTGTCTTAAATTCATATATTATTTCAGCATCATTTGCCAAGTTTTTCCATGTTTTCTTTTAGGGCCCATAACATAATACAAACTGAAAATTGCCCACTAGAAATTTGATTTTGGTCAACAGACAATATATATATTTAACCTTCTGTTGATAAGTGGAATGTTAAATAAATGTACAATGTGCTTAAATACATGACTTAAATGATTGAATATGGGTAGATATATTTAAATAATTTTGTTAAAAAATCTGTATTTATTAAAATATTTAAGAGGGTATTATGAATATTTGTCTATATCTTTCATGGGTTTCCAATTTTATTGGAATATTCACCATTTATAATGGTAAATTGTCAAAATAACAGCTTCAGAGAACACACGCTTCCCCATATATGGTCCCTCAGCCTGTAGCTCTTTAACAACTTAAGGGATCATACCTTGCCTTTTATGAAAACTGTTAGAGTAAACATCTGGTGAAGGAAGGAGCTGTTATCCAAAAGTAAAGCTTTGATTATAATCAGATGTATCACTTGACTGCTGTTGTAGAGAAAAGGATGTTTCCATCCAAAGATCCTTTATGCAATAACTTGATTAAATAAAGAAAAAAATATTTTTTGGGGGCTGTTTTGGATCAGTAGTACTGCAGAAGAACATGTATATAGCCCTCGTCAGACGGACATATTTTTTGCCTATTCCACTTTTGGCACAATTGTTAAAGATGTCGATATCAAGAGTTGCTGCTGATATCTCTGTTGAATTTTGGTCTGGACTTCAACTAGGCCATAATAACCCGTGCTTTAATCAATACATTCCATCAAGCTCTGAATGAATGTATAGGATTGTTATACTGCGGGAAAAAGAAACTCGTCTGCATTCTGATTTGTTACCAGCTTCTATGTTTCTGCTGATGGATTATCACAGGATCATGCTGCCACCATGGTGTGTTCAGGGGAATGCAGATTAAACTCAATGTCACAAATAGCACTGTAAATCTGTTGACATTTATTTTGATCTATTCTGACCTTGGCCAAGTGTTTACTATGCCAGTGGATTAAAAAAGAAATAATTTGTGCCATTATACATGGCAAAAAATGTTACAAAGTATTCCACCTGAGCTGTAGATTATTTAAGTTAGACCTCATTCCTGCTGTCCTTTTCCCGTCTGTCATTTTAGGTAGAAAACCATGTCTTAATATTTTTTTCCATAATGTGCATTTTGTCTCTCTCTGCATTTTACTAACATTATTTTAGCAGTTTTAAATTTTGAAATCTCTTGCTAGTTCATTCAGAGGTAAAATACTAAAAGAATAAACACCATAATTTCTAAAAGTCTGGCTAAATAGTGGATTGCATAAATTTTCCCTCAAGAAAACAGAATAATAGATAGGAAAATAAAACTGTAAAAATCTTACACATTTTTTCACAGCTTCAACATGAACGTTTTTATTTTAACAATAACACAAATATCTTGAATCATCTTGGATATAAAATGAAACATACAAACTGCTCATGATTATTTCCCCCATTTCAGAGAAAAGACCCACAAATGAGAAATTTGCATTTTAAAATTTTCACCAAAAGGTACATCTGACTCAGGGATTACAAGCAAGGTATTAATTCAACTGTGCCAGCATACAACAACAAAAGCCGATGATAAAAATCATGTTAAATTAATTAATTATGAACTGAATGATACTTCCTATGAGATCTGAGGCTAGAAAATACATAATTTACAATTCTTAATTCCCATGTCTTCATCATGTAGACTTGGTCCATTTCACATGGAGGTTTGGCTATGCTGAGCAACATCTTCTATAAATTACATAAAAGTCATTCAGAGAGGATGTATAACATATTTACATGAAGAGTCCGTTTTGCAATAAACTAAAGATGTGAAGCTCAACAAGAAATTTAAAAGAAAATATTTAAATAAAAAGAAAATTAAAACAAATGCAATGAGCATGGACTGATGTGTCCCACAGTACAATTAAATAAAATCTGCTTAAATAAAGTAGTGATAAGGGTTTCTTGATAATAATAAAAAATGTTAGTAAAGATGATGGATGTAGTATTTTGTATCTCAGGCTTTTTTAAATAATGAAATAAAAAAATCATTCAGTCACTGTTGCTGTAAACGTAACAAAAAAATCGAGAAAATGTTTTGTTCCAGACAAACTTACTACTATTTTTTTTTATTTCAGACCTGTATCAACAACAAAGTATTTTATCCTACGGTCCTTTTAAAAACCAATGGCACTTTTTAAAGAGTTAGTCCTCCAAAAGTTCAGAATCTTTATTTCCCCAAAAGGTTTCTTGTGTGGTTGGAAAGCTGTCATGCCCTCACAGCGAAGGAAGGTTTTTTTCCTCCTAAACGACTGCGTGTTCCTATAAATACTGAGGTAAAAGATGAAGGATGCTGAGCTGGTAGACGTCAGGCTGGCTTCTGCCTGAAGTCTGTGATGGCCTTCCATAGTTTACACAAAACTCCACCTCTGTTGCAATGACAAAAGAGAAAAGGCAGTTAGCTCAAAGGTAAATATGGTCAGTTTTCCACTATCATATGTTTATTTAGAGCGAAACCGTTTTGATAATGCACTTGATGAACATCTATTTTAATCATTCATTTGAGATTCAAAGAGTATGAAACATCTTTAAGATTGAGTACAAACGTAATTCATAGTCTGATTTGAAATCTTGTGTGAATGGGGGCGAAATCGGACAATAGACACCTGGATGGACACTTGGTCAAGTACCAGGACATGTTGCTAAATTGCTTACCGATATGTTTGTATGACTACACAATCCAACAGTACTATTAAAATTCAGCAAATGCTGATTAGTAATAATAAACCCAATCAGTGCAAAAAATTAAAATGAGGAAGCTATTATAATTAATATACATAAATTATTTAGAAGTTTAACTCATTACTATATTACGGAAGAGGATTAGGGCCACTGAAAAAAAAAACAAAGTTAACAATTTTTTTTTATTTTATTTCAGTATAGTATGGGAAAAAAGTCAGAATTCTGACTTTAATCTCAGAATTCTGACTTTTTTCTCAGAATTCTGACTTTTTTCCCAGAATTCTGACTTTTTTTATTGTCAGAATTCAGAATTCTGAGATTAAAGTCAGAATTCTGAGATTAAAGTCAGAATTCTGAGAAAAAAGTCAGAATTCTGAGATTAAAGTCAGAATTCTGAGAAAAAAGTCAGAATTCTGAGAAAAAAGTCAGAATTCTGACTTTTTTCCCCATGTTAAACTGAAATAAAATTTAAAAATCTGTTAACTTTTTTTTTTTCAGCGGCCCTCTTCCGTACTAAATTAATCAATAACTTCCATGCATAAGATGGTGAGAATTGGGGGGAAAGTATATGGCAGACAAGGCAGTTTCTTTTTATGCCAAACTGCTGCTTCCAATCTGTCCATTATATTATTCTGAAGAACATTCCAGCAAAACTAAAAGGCACATCATAAAACAATGAAAATATTTATTTGTAACTGAAATATAAATTCCACCAGAGGGCGTTACTCACTTTGCAAACAACAGCCTTAAAGGAAAGTTCCCCTATGGATTGTTTAAAAAAGCGATCAAGTAATATTGAAACATTTTTTAAGCCTGCTAATCAGTATATGGAAATGAAAGGTTAATACCCAAGATTTTGTCATGTCTCAACTACAAACTTCTATGCAATTATTTGGGATTTT